AATTTTAAAGATTTTAAAAATATTTTAAAAATTTATAAAAATTTATAAAAAAATATAGAAATATCAAAATAATAAATAATTATTATAAGTATAATTATATTTTCATATTTGTTGCTTTTCAAACATTTCCAAAAACTTATATACTTTATTTACTTTTAAATATTTTGTAGATTTTAAAAATTTTAAAAATATTCTGAAACTTATGAAAACTTATAAAAGAATATAAAAAATATTAAAAAAATAATTATCAGAAATTATATAGAGACATTCTAATATGTTATAAGTACAAAATATTTAAATAATATATTAGAACATTGTATTTTAATATACTATAAATATGAAACATTCAAATAACACATTAGAATATTATGTTTTAGTATGCTATAAGTATTGTAATTCATTAAACAAAATATTCCCTAGGATAAAATACCTTCTGTAAAATATACCTGAATATATCTCATAGGTTTGTATTATAATGAAGTATGTTGTACTTAGGTATAATATATAATACTATATTTAATAATCGAATTTAATAAAAAAAATAAAAATTTTTATTTAGATTATTATTACTATAATTATTTTATTATTATTATTATATTACTATTATTATTATATTATTTGTATTATTATTATATTATATTATTATTACTATTTTTATTATATTATACATCTTCCCATAAATTTTTATAATTAATTTATTATAATAATCATTATCACTATTATTATTATTATTATTATTATTACTATCATTATCATCATTATTGTTGTCACTATTATTACTATTATCACTATTATTATTTTCATCATCTTTATCTCCATGATTATCATTGATTTCATTAATTTTATTATTATTTTTATAATTATCATTAATCTCATCACTTCCATTTTTTATATCATTATTTAAATATATAAAATTTTTATTACTTTTACTTTTTTTATTTATCCAATCATAATCAAAAATATATTTATCTTTTAAGTCATTTCAAGAATTTGATATTCCACAACATTTAAATGAATGTTGTATAAGTATTAGATCAATTTTATCCCATGAAATTTTTTTTTTTTTTTGGTATTCCAGTGAGGCCTTGCCTTAAATTTATTAATTAAGAAAAGAGAAAGTCACATTATTACTAACGAAGATATATAACTTATCCTAATTTTATTGAAAAGATGGTACTCAGACTAACTCTAATGAGACATGCCTGCAACCTATCACCTGACAAGTGAACTTGCCCTCAGCATGTTAAGGTCTTGCTGAACAACCTATTTTATAAATGTTTGTTCAACAATAACCATTGTGGACTAATCCTATTATATGTTCTTTAATTATATCATTATAAATGTTTAATTTATATGTTTTCTCATCTATTTTACTATTATTTAAACTATTATTATCAGTGTTATTATTGTTATCAGTGTTTTCACTATCTATAATGTTAATATTATTTGTATCGTTTGTTATCTCTTTCCTATTTACTAAGCTTTTTTTTCCTTTACAAGTTTTAATACCATTATTTCTTTCCTATTCCTTAAACATAACACATCTATGTTTCCATATCTCTTTTTGTACAAACAATTTATAATGTTTAAATGTGTCATATATGACTTGGTTTAGTTTTTCCTCACGTTTAATCATTGTCTGTAATAAGGTTATTAATGAATACGGTATTAGTTCCATAATTATATCCAAAAATAAGATTTCATCTTTATTTTTATGCATTCCTTCTTCACATAATTTCATTGCTTTCAAATTATTTAGATTACTCCCCAAAGAGTCATTAATAATGTAGGAACCGTTACTACGGAGTTGTTCTATTAAGATTGTGATAAATCAGTTTTTACACAATTCTAGTGTTACTGGATTGTTTTCACATGTAAAAACATGTGCCTGATCCTCTATTAAAAGGTCACAGCAAAAACATTTATCTGTCTTATATATTAATAGATATTTGATCTTAAGTTTTTGTAAGGTCATCCTATGAAATTTTATCTATTGTATAACTAAATTATATATAGAATATTGTATATATTCATTTGGAGTTAATTTTTTTATTTCTTCAGTCATTTAATCTATAAAATTCAATAATTTTAATTTAATAACTTCAAATTATTAAATAAAATCAATAAATAATAAATAATTTAATAGAAAATAAATTAATAAAATAAAAAATACATTGTTTTTAAATGATTTATTGATGCTTATATCAAGTGATTGTAATTTACTTGTTAGACTACTAGGAATAACAGCCAAATTTATATTTTTTTTATCAAATCTATTTTTTATAGAATTTGTTAAATGATCATGAAATGAATCTAATATAAGTAATGAATGAGGATCAATAAATCTTGTAGCATGTTAATTTCAAATATTTTCAATTTACCAAATTATTTCATCCAAATTCATATATCCCTCCTGATTTGTATAAATTATAATATCTGATGAAAAAATTTGTCATAGAATATTTACAAGTTTAAAAATTATCAATAGTGATAATTTTGTATTATCTGTTATACAAAAAAGTATCACAGTAAAATTTGATTTTTTGTATTTTGTAGTATGTATACTAACTGTTCTAGAACCTGTTTCTTCTACTGTTATATTGTTAGACATATCAAAAGTTAAGGGTGTTTCATCCTTATTTCTAATTAAACTTAAAAAATAATTATATTAAATATGATGATAAAGAATAAAATTTAAAAATTCATGTTATTTTTCTATTAAATCTTCTGGTAACTTTTATATTATTGTTGTACAATAGTGATTACTAAGTTTATAATGGTATATAAATTTCTCTAACCATTTATTACCTCATTTGCATTTTAATATACTAGGATATATTGTAGTATATTATAATTTTCTAAATAAAATTTTAATTTTTTCTTGTATCATATAATGTGAAATTATTTTTTGATTAAAGTATAAAGATTTAATCTATTTGAAAAATTCTGTTTCAAATATTAGATATTAAACTTTTGTATTAGTAGAAAGTTTTTTAATATATAGCTTTACTAATAAATTTTGTTAAGTCAATCTTTTAATTATTTAAGTTCTATATTAAATTTTTCTGTTACACTATGTTTAGAAGCTTGAAGATTTCTTTCAAATAATGTTACTATTACTAACTTTTCTTTCACATCCCAACTTCTCTTTTTTTTATTTGTAATTTTTGTTTGTTTTAAAAAGTTCTGGTTTCAGATTATTTTATTTGAAAAAAATTTTAATATACCTTAACATATATAACAAATAAAATATCCTTTTTCATATAAAATATTCTTCCAAGTACAACTCAAGTTTTTGAAAGATAGGCTATAAGGTATCTGGGGCTTTTGACCAGTGAATTATGGTATAAAACATTTAAATAATGCACTAGAACATTGTGTTCTGGTACATTATAAATTGAAATATTCAAATAATATACTGAAATATTGTGTCAAAAACTTAAATATTTTACTTTAAAAATATTCTGAAAACTTTTGAAAATTTACAATAATTTTTAAAAAAATAACAATAATAATAATAGTAGAAAATAAAGAAATAATACAGAACACTTTTCTATCTTTTAAACTTTTTTTAAAAATTTATAACATAGTAACAAAAAATAATAGGAAATAGTTATAATTATTCAAAACTTTTTGTAAATATTTTTTTTTTTATAAAATTTATTGTAATAATAAAAATAATAATTGTAATAATAAAATAATATTGTAATAAAATAATTAAAAAGTATCTTCAAATATTTTAAAAATATTTAAATTACAAAATTTATTGATATATAACAAAATAGATTTTTAAAAAATCTATAAATATTAAATTTTTTTAAATTTACATCATGTCAAATTTCTGGAAATTTATATAACAAAAATTTTTGAAAATTTATATTAACATCAGAATTCCATAATATTTTCAAAAATTTCTATAGGTTTTTGTAATATTAAAGAAATTTAATATGGTGTAAATTTCTGGAAATTTTTGTTTATTAAATTTCCTAATGTATAGTTAATAAAAATTAAAAATTTTTTAAAAAATAAATAAATAATATTAATTATAATAACAATCTAATTATAAAGTAATTCCTATAAAAAAATTTGATTATTCTTTTAATTTTGATTTTTCTGTCTGAATTTTTTCAAATGCAAATTATTTCTAGTATTATTATAAATATATTAAATTAGTGAATAAAAAAAGATTCAGATGTATTAGTAATTAATAAATTATTATCAAATTTTTTACTTGGCAGTTATATAATTATTTATTATTGCTAATTCAATAGAACTAATTAATTACAAAAACATATTTGTTTCACATGAATTAAAACAATTCAATATTTTGATAAACTTTTTTTTATTATATATATATTACATTTTAATTATATAAAATAATACCAGAAATTACTGGCATTATTGTTATTATTATCATACTTAATCTAGTTAAATATACAAAATAATGTTTAAATAGGTACTGGAAAAAAGTACTCACTTATTTCATTATAACAATATATGAAATTATTAAAAATAATAAAACAACTACAATTAGATATACAAATAATAAATTTTTTTTACTTTAATATATCATCCAACCAATCTTCTACATCATTTATATTATTATTATTTGATGTTGAAAAAATTATAGAATTTGATATTTTTTTTGATTTTTCTTTTATTTCTTCTTCTTCAAGTGATTGAAGAAATTCATCAATATCATCATTATCATTATTCTTCTTTAATATTGATAATTCTGTTTCTTTTGTTTCTAGTGCAGAAATATTTATTTTACTGGATTTAATTGATTGTATTGATGAGGAGGAGGTTGTTATTGGTGAAAGTAGTGATGAAAGTGTTGTTGTTGTTTGTGATGATGGTAATAAAAGTTTTGTTGTTATTGTTGTTGTTGGTGGTGATGGTAATGAAGTGAAATCTAAAATAATAATAAAAAAGATGTAAAAAAATAATTGATTTCTAATTAATGAAAATAATTAAAGATAAAAATTAGTAACTATTACTTATAATATACCTTTTGAATTAACATTATTTAATAATAATTCTTGTTTTGTGGTTGATACTTTATTTGTTACTTCTTTATTTGTTACTTTATTCATTACTTCTTCATTTGTTGCTTTATTTGTTACTTTTTCATTTGTTACTTTATTTGTTACTTTTGCATTTGTTGCTTTATTTTCTACTTTTTCATTTGTTGCTTTATTCATTACTTCTTCATTCATTACTCTTTTATTAGTTACTTTATTCATTATATTGGATTTCTTGATGACTCCCAACACATCTTTCACATTTTTAACACCTTTTACATTTTTAACATCTTTCACATTTTTAACATCTTTCACAATTTTGCCATTTTTGACATCTTTCACATTTTTGTCATTCTTTTCATCTTTGCTTAGTAAAGTTTTTGTTATATTCGCCTTTAATGTTTTTGGAACAATAGGTTGTTTGATATTTAACAGATAATTCTGATCATCATCATTATTTGATTTCGTCTATTAAAAAAAAAATAAACAATAACAGTTTTAATAAATTTGAATAAATTGTTTCTAACGAAAAATAAAAACTTAAATTCTATTCATTACAATAAAAATATCATCATTTAAATCTAATCTTTCATGTAAATTAACACTACTTAGTGATAATTCCAAGTCATCAAAACGAATATTCATTAAAGCTTGATTCATCTAAAAAAATAAAATATTCCTTGGTGAGTTATAAATATTTCATTATGAGTTGTATATGTTTCCCTTGTGAGTTGTAAAATTAAAAGGCAAAAAAAAAAAATAAAGAAATTACATCATCTCCTGATTCTTCCCATTCTTTTTCTTCTTTAAATTGAAAATATGTTGACGGATCGAATGTCATGTTTTCTAATAATATTAATATTATTAATATTATTATTACTCATAATAAATCATTATAAATAACTGACAATATGTGTACCTGAACCATCATTAATCATTTGCAAGAGTTCCATTGTTTCTATATCATCGGCATCTATATCTATATATATTTCACATATTATATTGTATATATTGTATTATTGTAAAAAAAAATTGAAAAATCTCCAAAATCCGATGCAATAATAATGCAAATAAATACCTTCGGATTCTGATGGTAACTCATAACGATATGAATTGCTTTCAAGTTTACGCCTTCGAAAACTTTGATCTTTTGTAAAACCTTCTGCATCGTTGTCGTCGTTGTCGCTGTCATCATCACTATCTTTTTTTCTTAATGACCCTCCTCTACGAGAATTTGATTTACGTTCTTTTCGTTTTTCTTCAATCTCTTTAACTACTTCCGCGTTTCCCTCGCGTTTGAGTATTTTAGATTGATATTTTCGTGATTTTGTTTGCTTATACTCATCAGGTCGCATAATTATTATAATTTATATTCATGTATAATTAGACTAATTAGACTATAATAAACTTGTTATTTGTGAAACTCAAAGTGTCATATAATTTAAATACAACACATTTTTTTATTTCAAAATATAATATAAATTTTTCGAAATGGATACGGTAACGAGAGAATTATTATTATTATCATCATTATATTTCTCATTATTTAAGAAAAACTAAAAGAGAGTTCTTTCTTTTTTAATAAACAGAAAGATTTACTCGACTTTTCACCACCAATTCCTTCAATTTTATTTCCGACATTAGCTTTTTTGTTTTTTCTTGCAGGTTTTGTGTTGACAAGTGCTTTCTCGTTGTATCCTTTTTTTTTATTTACTTTCAATATTTTCAATGTTTTTAAAAAATATATCTTTCAGTATACCTTAATACTATTTATATATATATTTGTATCAAATAGTATACCAGCAAAAGTTTCTATGATTAAAGAACTTTTATTTGCAATTCCTGCTTCTATATTATTAGGATTTGGAAGTGTATTTCTGTCTCTGTCTGTTGGAATTTATGTTTAAAAATGAAAATATTAAAATAATTGAAGATAGACTTAATAATAACAATCAGTTATAAAACTATGAAATTTTTTTCTTTTTATTAAAAAAAAAAACATGAAACAAGAGATTAATTATTTATAACAAACAAAATGTACATTTAAAGTATAATATATATATGCAAAATTCATGATGTGTGTTTGTATATTTGTAAATAATTCTATTTAAAATTTCATCCCTCAAGAGGTATATTTGCAACTTTCAACAATCTGTCAGTTGTTAAGGAAAAGGGAAAAGGAAAACAAGAAAAGAAAAATTTTCAATAACTTTTAAAAAGACTTTCTTCAGTCTAAAAAAGTTATGTAAATGATAAATGATTATTACATACCTATCAACATTTTTTAACTTTGTACAATCACAATTATCTAAGACATTATTAAAAATGAAAATTTTCTAGAATACAACTAGATCCATATATAAAATAAATATATATATATAAATGTAAGTTAAGTATGGTTAAAAGTTTTTGTGAAAGTGATTGCACCTACTTCATTTCTTTATTCGATAAGTTTCGTAAGGTTTAAACCTTTGTCGATCGTCTTTATCTATACTTTTAGATGAAAAAGAGGAAGAACTACTTTTTATCGTTATAGGTTGTTGAGATGGTGAATTTGAACTTAAATCAGAAGACGATTTCTGTTGATTCATTTGTGCTAATTTTCGTTCTAATGCTTGTATTTTTGCATCTGTGCTATAAATGAAAATAATATCTGAATATATCTGAATATTATTATGAATTATTATTATAAAATCAAAAGAAATTACAATAAAGATACACTTTACCTAGCATTAACCATTTTATGCGACTTTAATAAAGATATGGTGGTTGGTCTATTTAATAACATTGACGTCGAAGAACGTTTTTTATAATCATTTTTACCATCGTAACTGTCTGGTGCCTAGAAACGCACAAAAAAAAAAAAAAAAATCAATTTTAATCTTTTTAATCTTATATAAATAAATAATAATATTTTCATTAATTATAATTTTAAAAATTAATAAATTCATACAGAATATGCAAAAGTCACAATCATAGATCGATTTTTGATCACTTTAGAATGCATTGCCGTCATAGCTCTTAATGCTTCCTAGACGTAATATTTTCAATTAAATAAATATAAATATATAATATATATATAAAATATATGAGAACCCATTTTATCATATAGTATAAAGAAGACATATCAAAGAAATACGATAAATACATCTTTCCTACTATACTCTAAAAAGCAATATCCTCTAGGTTGTCCACGTTTCGGTCCACTTTTGTGAAAAAGATAATCAAGTTGGGTTATTTTTCCAAAAGGTTCAAATAACTTTACTACGGTGTATCTAAAAAAATATATTTAGATTTATTTATTTAATATTTTATTAATTAAAATTTTTGATTTATTAGATATTGATAAAAAAAAAAAACTTACTCGTCAATAGCAGAATCTAGATTGCCTATATACAAACGTTTGTCGTCAAGCTTTATAAAAGCATCAAGTTAGAATTCAGTAATAATAGTCATGAATGAAGGTAAGAACAGAATGTAATATTTTAAAGTATTACCTTGTTTTGCGATGCCATGTTATTTTTTTAGATCGGTAACTTTAAAGTTTATATGTATATAGTGGATTAATAGTTTATATACTGTAAATGTTGGAATGCAAATTCACGTGTTATGTTTGTTACAATATAAATTGCTGTTTAATTTGACAACTTTCTATCAAAAAAGTTAAAAATATGAATAAATTTATACCCGAAAATGATAAATGTATTTTTACGGGGAGTACACTTATATTAGTGAGTTCTTGCATTTGGTTTTTTTTTTTATTGATCTTGGTATAATTTAATATTCCGAGACAGAGTTTTCCTTCATATATTTAACTGTTAAAATAAAATGAATTCTACATTATTATTATAACAAGCCCGCAATTTCAATTGGTAATGTACCTCAACTTGCCATAGATCTTTTGATTACAACTTTAAGTTTACAAAGAATAGGATTTCTGGAAGATGAAAATGTTTTACCTATTGCTGGCGCTTCTGAGCACACTGCAGGAAATGGAATTACTGTTGCGATTGAAGGCAAGAAAGTGGATTATTTTTGTATATAAACATAAATATAGAGAAAAATAGACATATATTTATAATATAAAAATTGTCAAAAACTCAGTATATCAATCAAGTGATGGTAGATGGACTATAATGCAACAAAGAGCTCCAACAATCAAAGTAATTTTATTATATTTTGAATTCAATATTATTTAATATTTAATGTCATCATCATCATCATCATTGATATTTATTAAAATTTGTTAATTATTTTCAGAAAAAAAGAAATGCTTTCATTGAAAATTTATTGGCATTTATTAAAGAATCCAACTTTTCAAAAGTGATTTTATTATCAAGTGCAGATGCAACATATCGAATAGATGATCAATTAATTGGGTATATTAGAATTTATTTATTTTTAGTTTTACATTAATTTTTTTGAATTGAATTGTTTTTTAGTAATTTTTTATTTTCTCATTCATCATTCATTATTAGTATACCCTTAAGGTTCTTGGCAACTTCGGAAATTCCCAATGACTTATTAGAAAAATCAAACACTCTTGGTTTAAAACTTATGGAAAAAATTCCAAAAAATGAATATGAAACATCAATTCAGGATTATCATAAAAAACAAGATGATGATCAAGGTTTACCTCAAATTCCTGGGGGAGGAATTTCAAAATATTTGTTTCGTATATGTCAAAATGAAAAAATTCCATTCTATATGATTATCTATTTTGCAATTGAAGGAGGTATTTAATTATTTAATCTTTTTTTATTTATTTATTTTTTTTTCCTTAATAAATTTTAATAATAATTTTATCATTTTGTTTATCTTTATATTTTTAGATAATACGCGAGATGCATTCTTACTTTCTGATTATACAAATTCTTTATTAAATTTATCTTCTCATAAAGGTATTCAATCATCTTTACTTTTTTTTTTTTTAAAAAAAAAAAAAACTTTATATTAAAACAAATATTATAAATATTCAATAAAAATTAATAACTATTCTTTTTTATTTTAGATACAATTAAATGGAAAGCTCCTTCAAGTTGGACTAGTTTGTTTGGTAAACCTTTTGAACAAGAATTGTATGAATAATTATAAAAAAAACACAAGAAATAGTCATCCCCTTGTACTAATATTGGTATCTAAATATGATGTATTACCATTTGTTGTTATTTTGTTGACCTTTATATTGTTGGACAAAAAATTTAATTTATCAAATACATAAATTTATGTTTATTTTCGATTTTTATACAAATTTTTTGACAAAAACAGTCAAAATGTCAAAGAAAAAAAATTCTAAATCGGTGAAGATGCAATTTGGATGTCAAAAAAAAATGAAAGAAAATAAATTTTTTTTTACGCGAGACAATAATCGGATCGAATTGTAGTCTTGAATCCATATAATTATATATATATTTTTTTTTGCAGCTTCTATTAATACAAACTAAATAATTTGTTTAGTTTAAAAAACGTAACGTTCAATTATAAAATAACAGAAAATAAAAAAAGGTATACGAGTGATGCCGCCAAAGGTTTGAATATCAGTCCGACTTCTGTTTTTTTTTCTTTACTGTTTCGTTTAATAACAGCATTAAGATCGGTCATTTTTCACCTCTAAAGAGAGAAAAACTTGCATTGTAAGTAGCGTGCGCAATTGCGCACCGTTTCTCACACGCATTCCACCCAGGCTCATTTATTTAATTTTATTTGCCTGTTTTGTTAAATAATCACAATCTTAAAGACACCGAACCGACCATCTGCTCCCTCCAAAAATACAACGTTTAAAAATAATTTGAAAGACTAATTTTTTTTTTTTTATTTATTTATTTATTTACCAACCTCATTATCATACGATTCCGGAGGTGGGACAGCATGATAAGAACCGCTAGAACCGCTAGTACCGCTAGTAATGGTTTGCTTTTTATCTTCATAAGTTGACGTCGGGGAGGAAGATGATGTAGTAGTCGGAGTTGGCACTGGAGCTAATTGAGGCTGAGGTGGAGGTGGAGGAGGAGGAGTTGGCGTAGCTGTTTGATAGCTAGTGGTTGGATAAGTAACCGAAGGTGCATATCCCGTATACCCATAATAATAGTTAGCATCTGATGCTTGCGTTACAGGTTGATGAGCCGTTTGTTGAGCGTAATAATTATATTGTGGGTATTGCTGGTAATATCGAGATTGATTGTAAGGGTTGTAAGGATTACTATAATTTGCACTATTTTGGGTATTACTAGTCACATAGGAACTTGTTGGATTTGTTCCATATGTCGTACCAGAATTATTATATGGATTTGATGTATTGGGAGGTGATGAAGTAGAAGTAGTAGTTTGTGGTGGAGGTGGAGGTGGATAAGAAGGTAATGGGGGTTGCGATGTTGATGATGATGATGAAGGCGATGAAGTTGGAGGTAAAGGTGGAGACGATGATTGCGTTGCTGTTCCAAGTGGTGGTGGTGGACCGGTAGGCAAAGGAGGATTAGCAGGTGGTGGAGGATAATTTCCAGGCAAAGATGGTGGTGGAGGTCCATAAGCAGGTGGACGTGGATATGGTGATCTTGCATATGTGGGAAAAGCCGCTTGTTGAGCCTTATGCCTATCCCATTCAGCTTTTACGGTGCTAATGAGATCTTCACATAATTTTTTCGCTCTATCCAGTCCTTCTTGACTCCAACAACTAAAGAATGATAAAATAAAAGGTCTAATTATCTATGACAAACAAAATTAATATATTATTACATGAAATATTTATTCAACGCACGTAATATGAATATGAAGCGGTTCAAAAGCTTCAACCCCGGAAGTGGGTTCAACATAACCCGACCCTCGCCCCTTTAACTGAACTTTTGCTCCCGTCTCTTGTTGAATATGTTTAACATAAGCACCTTGTGGGCCAACGATTTTAGCACGTGCATTAAATGTACGATCAGGTTCGATTCCCACAAATACTTTATCTTGAACAAACTGCCGCTATTTAAAATAAAATCAAATAAAATAAAATAATTTCAATATAAAGGATATTACAAAAATTCTAATTAAAACCATCATGAATAAGTCAATAAATCATAATTACAGAAGAAGAAATGAACGATGGACGTACTCCTGGATGGATGCCAGGCGGACGCGGCGTTGGAACTGGCGGAGCGGGAGTAAACGATTGTTCCATCAATTCTTCTATTTTTTTAATCGCAGCATCCAAAGCTTCCTTGGTCGATGCTGTCACATGTAAATAAAGTGGTGGATCTTTCTCTGTAGCAAGTTGCTTATCAGGGTAATACTTTCCGCGTGTTGTGACATCTATAAAAATTTGATTATTACTTAAATGAAAATGATGCATACTTACTTAGGAAATATTATTCACCTGCACCGGTTTCCTTTTGGATCTATTAAATTAAAATATAAAATTAAAATATAAAATTAGTATAACTAGTAAAAAGATTATTTAAAAAATTTTAAATAAAAATAATTCTTTTGATTTTTACCAATTGTTGTGTAGCACCTTTTGTCAATGTATATCTGTTTTTACAATCATTTATTACGATGTCCTGTACAAACTCTAAATCAGATTCTTTTGTCGTCGATTTAACTAATTTGGTTTCCTTATTTAAATTATTTAAAAAGAATCATCATGAAATTAAAAAATATAAACAAATATACTTCAAAAAAAAAAATCAACTTATTAAAAATATATATATAAATACTTCAGCACTTCCGTTCTCAGAAGATTCTGTTTTTGATGGAACCACTACAGGTTTTGTTGGGACTTGAATTCCTTTAGCTGCGAGCATAGCATTAATTTTCGCAGCAGCTACAGCTAATTATATTAAACGTAAGAAACGTAAGAATTTTTAAAATAATCTCGTAAAAAGAGAAATAATAAACTGAATAATTTGTCTAAACCTGCAGCAATATTAGGATCCACGGCATCTGGATTGTAAGGAGTTGGTGAAGGAGCACTAGATTCAGAAGTATCACTTGTTGCATCAACTTTGATCGATTTTGCAGTTGGCGCAGACGACTCTTTCCCTTGCTCATCCCACTTATGTGGTGTACGTGGTGCCTCTTTCCCCTCAGGATCAAGATCCCATTTACGTTTTCGACTATAATAGATCATAAATTTTTTTTAATATAAAACTACTTTAAGTTAGAATAATGATTGAGATACCAACGTTTTATTTTGCGAATTTTGCGAGGACATTGCAAGTAAAAGATATGTTACAAATATTTTCTGCTTTTCTTAAAAGACATCCCTGGATAAAAAGATGTGCCGATCACTATTTTATAAATTATAATTTGCACGTGACAAACTTAAATACAGGGACGAATATCATATAAATAAAGAACAATTAATACGCGAGATGAAAATTCTTTAATGCAAGTGACAAAACATAAATGCTTATTTAAAATAAATCGAACTGAAAGTACATAAAAATAAACCAAAAAAGTGATCCCGAGCATAAATAAATTAATACTAATATGACAAATTTCCATTTATTGCAAAAGATGTTAACAAATTTTGGCTAATGCTGTAAGTACTATTTCTCTTCCTTCTGGTTCTGCGAGATTTATACCACTCTGCCTACAATTCTTCCCTAGCCATCTTTCAATAATAACTAACCGTTCCCGTGGTAAACCCTCATCAAGCTCTTTCCAATATGATGCAGGAATCACAGCCTTGTAAAATGTAACGTATGTAGAAATAAAGCGAACAGCAAATATGGTCCGATCCATAATTTCATCAGTCATGTTTGTTTTCATCTCCACAGGCAAGTATCTTGGCAGCAATTTGTGACTCCAAAATAATTCGCGCGATAAGCGTTTTTCAGGTACTTATCCTGTGAAAAAGACTGTTAACGAAAACATATTTATCATACAAACAAAACGTACAGACCTCTACAATCAACATTTTTGCCTTTTTTCGCTTTCTAATCACAAATTCAGGATTTGTTGAAATGTAAGGCTTGCCGAAAATGGATAGTTTGCATAACGGTTGATTTCTGGATTTTAACGACTTTAGAAGATGCATAAAAACAGACTTTTCATAATACTCGCAGGCCAGTGATTATGATGCGAAGTAGATCATTCACAATCATAACCTCAGTCATGCTTTTAACAGTAAGATTCATTTACAATGACGTCACTCAATTCATCAAATGAATGCTTGAAGGGTCTGAGATTCCGTCAAGCTTTTCAACATCAAAATCTGGCGAACTAAGTACATAGTGGTTGATATCAGGGGAATATATTGCTTCGGAATATCGGCAACTACGCGATAATTGAATTGTCAATATATTAGGGTTGTTAAAAGAAATGCTGTTATAGCGTGTTAGTACCTTCAACTGCAGGAATGACGGTCCTCGGATGGAGCTTGTTGGAAGTTCACATTCAGTGCTTTACTATCTCTTCTCGTAAAATAAAATGCCGAAGTGTTGATTCGAGTAACCCCTTTTCCTTAAGCATGGCACTGACCGCTTCTCGCGACTTCGGATAATTTTCGTCAAACAACGCGGCCGTGGATGAGAAAAAGGCTATTGGTCAGAAAGTTCGTGGTACGAAATGAGAAACTGAGCAACGAGACTGAGCAAAGACATTTTTATGTTCAGAAAATAAGTGGTATTTTAAGCCTCAAAAAATCTGCGAAAAGCAAGTGTTCACGTGATTTGACAATACAGCCATCAAACTTATGGTCAATACCTTCAATGGGCGGATTCTGGAAATTTTCTTAAATTCAAGTCAATAATATTTTTCATTCAGCTACATTAGTATATTCATATAATTTACCTATCCTGTATGATAATTTCTCTGAAGACCTAGATATCTACTTTTTTGAATATTAATAATGAAATAATGGAGAAGGAATCTCTCTTTGTAACAAACATAGAAATGGATTCTTGGAAATATTCTGTTTTCACCTTCACACACCTCCACTTTTCACCTCAACATTCTTTACCTTCAAATTTTTATTTTTTTTGTAAATAGGTTATAATGGTATCAACAAATTTCAATATTTTGAATTAATATTTTAAATAGTCTATTATATTATCACTGGTCAAATAAATAAAATCAAATTCTATTGATAGTTCAAATCAAATAAAGCTATTCATAAATTAGAATAAATCAGAAAACCTTATTAGTTATGTATTATCTGAAAACTTTAGCTTATAATTTAAAACAAGTTAATTTGAAGTAGATTATATATGCATAACCTAAAAAGTAATAAAAAAGATCCGAGTTTCTAAAAAACAAATTTTACTCATGATTAAAATTAAACTTAATTATAACTGAAACACATATTATTTAGTCAATTGAATGTTCATATTTGAAATAACATTAAATTATGAATAAAGTTTACAGATTAACATCCTGATATATGAATTATCTATTATATCTCATAAAAAATGAATAGAATTTGTACAGCAAAAATTTAATTCGAGATGAGAAATTTACTTATAACAGAGCCATAAGAATATATTAACTATTTGTATCAGATAGCAATTAAATTTATTGTACTTAGAATATAACTTTAAAAAAAAATATTTACTTAAATAATTGATAATTTGAAAAAACTATTAAAATTTAAAGAAAGTTATAAGAAGGACTTCATAATTTAACAAGGGAAAAACTGTTACTTTTTTTACTGATGTCTTTATTTTATTTTTATTATATTATTTTATTTTTAATTTATAATATATTTATATTTATATTTATTTATTTATTTATTTATTCTATACATGTTATCAAAACTATTAAATTGAGCTAGACACAATTAAAAATTTAAAAATTGAAGTTAAGTCAAGTGAAATTTTCATTTTTACATAGTAAATTGTCACAATTATTAAGTCTAATACAATTAAAAATTGAAAAAATTAGAATTGAATCAAGACTCAACATATATAATTTATTCATTATTTATTAATTACTAGTATTATATTATTTAATTATTAGTTATTTCTTATATGTACATAATTTAATATTATGCTTATGTAACTGTTAAAATCAAATTGTTAAGAAGATTGTGTTGAGGTTATATCAAAAATACTAAGAGAAACATTAGTAAGAACACTATCAAAATTAATTATTATAAAAAAAATAAATTTTTTTTCTATCCTAGAGTAGATTCAAATAGAGTTTAGATAGTAATCTAAAATCTGTAATTAATTCTTTATTGAATTAATCTTTTTGTGACAATCCTAATTTATAGAATTATTAATTTATATCTTTTTTTGATACAAATTAACTTAGCCTATTGATATCATCCACAAATTAACACAAATCTTCCTGTCTATTTGTATCAAAAATTTTGTCTGCTTTCTTCATTTGACTAGTGTAAATTCTTATTAATAAAACTCTTTGCTATTACTCTATAATTCTTAATAAATATTAACTTGAATTTAATAGTTTAATTTTATTATATAATTTACTAATTATTTTTATAAATTTTTAGTTCTTTATATTAAATTCTATATTAATAAATTATTAGTTTTTAATAGTTAAATTATCTCTTGTCCTTTAATTTTATTTTTTTATTTTTATTAATTAGTAAATAAATTTTCTTCTGTTTACTAGTTGTCATAGATGATTGTTTTAATTCAAAAAAAAAAAAATTCCAACAATAGAGTCTATTGCTAAAATTTTTTTTTTGAATTAAAGCAATCATCTATGTTAGCTGTTAATTGTAAACCTCCTTTTGGAAACTTAGTATAAAAAGTTAACTAGTAATATCATTTAATAAGTTTATTTTTGTTAAACAATATTTTTTTAGCAAAAAAAAAAAACAAGCACCTAAAAAATCTTGTCACTTATGATAAAAACAACAGACCTCTGCAGAGATTCAAAATAGTTTTCCAAAAAATGTCAAAAATAATATTAATTTCAGAAAAATATATTATTTTAGTAAATAAACTATTTTTTCTTCTCAACATGAAGATATAGAATATATCAATTAAGAGATTCTCAAAATATTTCCAGGAAATCAATGTATCTGTTGTTGTACTTGTTGATAGTGAAGAAGATTTTTCAAGAAAAATGATAAAATATACTATTGTCAATAAATATTCATTAGTAAGGTACTAATATACATGTTACTCAAATTAATTTTCAAAATTCCAAATTCCAAATTATTTTATTATGTCTAAATTAATTTAAGTAAGATGTATAGATACTAACAAGAGATAGAATAACAAGTTAGAATTCATGAGAATTTATTAATTATGTAAGATTCCAATTTTTGTTCATTTGCCAGTGATATGAAAGACTCAACCAGTGATCCTGTTTTTTCAATTATTGTAATATCTTTATCATTAAGATCAAATTCAATAACATCTGTTCTTTTCTATTTCTCAATGTCTTCAACTGTCAAATTAAGTGTAATAGAAATAGTGTATAAGTTAGTATAATTTTTGCTATTATCAAGATCTAATTCAATAACATCTGTTCTTTTCCAGTTCTCAAAAAAATTACCCATTTTTTCTTATTTGCATCTTTTAATGTCATCATTTCGTGTTAATAACGTGACTGTTTATAAACACTTATTCTTCACTGCGAAAAGAATTCAGCTGAAAATTTTTTTTTGAACAAATTCATATTAGAATTTTAACTAACGTTCAAATCTCTTCCCTTCTTTAAAGAGATACCGGTTTATTGTGAGAACCAGAATTTTGTATGAAAAAATTTCAATAAGTGATAATTAAAATGCATCATATCTGTTATTAATTACTGAATGAAGTTACATACGATAAAACTTTTTTTTTTTGTTCCAGGAAGAATTATTATTATTATTATTATTCCTGGTCTAATAATTGTATTTTGAATATCTTGAGCAGTTTGAATTATTGGATATCTCTAAAAGACAAGAAAAAGTTTCAAATTTACAGTTGAGTTTTTATTCTTATGTTGTAATTAATATTTAGTTAATACTTTTTTACAAAACAAGGAACAAAAAAAAATAGCATTCTTCATTGAAATAAATAATATTAAATAATATTAGATCACTAAATTCAAAAAATGATGTGATATCATTTATTGCTCTAAAAATCTGGAATATATTTATATTCTTTTTTTTTCACAAAAAAAAAAAAAAAAAAAAAAAAAAACAAAAAAAAAAAAACAACGAAAGAATATTTTTTTTCTACCATTCAACGGCTTATTAAACGGCATATGAATTATTATTACCTTGGTACAAAAACCAAACCAAATTATCTATCTTGAATTATAAATAATTTTTTTTTTTTTTTGCTCCATATTATCGGATATTATAGAAATAATAATTTGAATGATGCAAATTTTGTATAAATCATATGATCTTGAAGCAAATAATATCAAATAAAAAAAAAAAAATTAATAAACAAAAGTTTCTTCTTACTGCCCTATAATCAAGTCCAACAATCCAATTTCACAAAAAAGTTCGTTTTGGACTAGTGTGAGCATCACCCAATATTTCCATATTTTGGAGGAATAATATATAAAATAAAGAGAAAAAAAACAAATTCCGTCTCAGTCATAGCTAATATAGCTAATGTCGGTCAAATATATGTTTACCACGTTGTTGAAATTGAGTCATAGGTTTACCGCTCCCGACAACGCCAACTAAATTTTTATGATAAAAAATCATATAAATATTATTAAAAATTATAATAAAAATTATAATAAAAAAAAAAAATAAAAATAAAAAAAAAAATAAAAATAATAATAATTATATTTTTACTTATTTAACATTTTCTTAATATTTAACTTAATTTCAATATTTACAATAATAAAGTATCAATAATAATAATTATAAAATAAAAATAACAAAAATAATCAAAAATAATAATAAAAAATAACCTTTTCCTTCCGGATTTTCTGGAGTGGCAAAAATACTTTTCTTATTGATGGGTGGTTGAACCAATCTTTTTGTTTTCGTTGTTTTCCTTCCGGGAGCTACAGAAGGACCACTAGCAAAAGCTAACCAAGACTTTTGTTTTGCGACTTGTTCGTTTACTTTCTTTTGTCCTTCACCGGCTTTCCTTTTTTTATGATCTTTTTCTTTTTCCTTTTTATCAATTGAAGCTTTCCTCTTGCTTTTTTCAAGAGGTTTAATATCTTGAACGTTAACAAGTTCTACGTTATTAAAACCTTTAAAAACTACTGAAAATACTTGATCTGAACCACCTATAGCAGTTATTTGAGCTGGGTAAAACTGCCCGTCTCCTGACCAACGTGCCAAGCAACTATCTCCTACTTGTAGAGGTTTTGAAAAATTTGTTAGTGTGTTTGACGTCGGCGTAGTTGGTGCGGAATTTGATTTAGGAGAAATTGATGAGCGTGTTGCCTTCTTAGGCGATTGTGATCCACTTTCTTGTTCAATAATCGTCGAAGTTAAACTTATAAGTTCAGTGAGATCGGCTTTAAGCTTCAAAAGTTCTACACTTTCAGGTTCACTTTTGAGCGCGAGATTAACCTGATCAAGTTGATATTGATATTGTGCCAGTTCTTCGACATTCATGACGATCACTTAATTTAGCTAGGAAAAATTTTTAAATTATTTGTGATGAGCAAATATAAATCTTAAATCATCAAGAGAATGATTATTGTTATTAACTTTCCTGTTTCACGTGATAAGATACAAAAAAAAAAAACCTATTTCTGTATTTGAAAAAGGCAGAATAATTAAATTTTTTATATTAAAAATATAAATTTTATAATATACAAAAATAATAATATCAATAATAATAATAATAATAATAATAATAATAAAATAATAATAAAAAATAATAATAAAAGAACTAATATTAAAAAAGTTGTTACTAAGTTTACCCAAGGGAAAAAATCATAGATAATAAATTCTTAAATATAACTATTAATTCCTTACACGATAACTTCCCGGGTTAAAAATGCAGTCATTCTCTACCATTAATATTATTAAATAAAAAAATTATCTTTTTTAAGATCAAAGTTTTCTAAAAATTTTAAAACTTTTTCTAAAAAACTTTTCATAATAAAACTAAATAAACAAAAAAAAAAAACTTTTAAAACTTTCCTAAACAAAAAAAAACATATAAAACTAAATGTATTAAAAATAAAAAAAAGGTATATACAGTATCTTTCAACTGTTATGTATTTATACTTTAAATAATAATAAAAAATTAATGTGTATGTATAATTGTATTTATATATATTGATGTATCACAAAATGAATTAATTAAATATTTAATAATTCTATTAACTAACAAAAATAATGAGTGAGACTTCTTAAGATTTTAAGATTAAATAAATAATCATCCAAAAAATTATTAATTCAATTATTAAAAGAAATAAAATAACTTATTAAATTTATGATCTGCCATCTTTGGCAGTCTTGAACTTGAGTAATGGTGCAAGATCTGATAATGGGCAAGCTTGTTTAAGAAATTCATGCTGTTAAAAAAAAATAATAATAAAAATAAAAAAATTTACAAGAATTAAATATTGAAGAGAAATTTAACAAATAATCAAATAATTAAATAATAAATCAAATAATCAAATAATAAATCAAATAATCAAATAATAAATCAAATAATCAAGTAATCAAATAATCAAATAATCAAATAATAAAAAAATAATAACATTAATAATTAAAACTTACTTCTAAAAGTTCTAGGGCAGTTGCTCTACTTTTAACATCTACACAAAGACATACTGCAAGAAAACTTTTCAAGTCTTTAGATAATTTTTCTGGCTTTTTTAATGTTGGCGTTCCATTTGTGGCAATTAAATATAATGCCTTAAGTGGTTCTTCATCTAAATATGGTGGTTCATTTTCAATCATTTCAATTGCCATAATTCCAAGAGACCAAATATCAACTTTAGCTCCATATTCTTTTTGTTTCACTACTTCTGGTGCCATCCAATATGGTGTACCAACCATCGTTGCTCGCTTGTTTTTTTGATCAGTTAACTTGGCACAAAATCCAAAATCGGCTATAAATCAAATTAGAAATAAATAAAAAAAATAATAAAAAAAAAATATTAATCGAAAAAAATATTTCAGAAATAATGAAAATTATAACTTACTAATTTTTACGTGACCATAAGCATCTAACAAAACGTTATCACTTTTGATATCACGGTGAATGATATTTTGACCATGTAAATGTTGAAGACCTTTACAAGTCTACAAAAACAAAGAAAGAAAGAGATCTTTATGTTAAAAAAAAAAAAGTGAACAAGAGAATAAATGTACATAATTGAAAATTGAAATACCTCATGACATATAGCGGCGATCTGATCTTCTTCCAATGTATTATTGTCAATAACATCCGTTAAAGCACCACCTTCCATATATTCCATTACAACCCAAAGTTCATTACTTTTAACTAAGAATGAATCAAGATAATTTACAATATTTGGATGTTGTGATTCTTTCATTACAAGAATTTCATTAACTATAAGTTCTTTCCGTGGTTGATGTGAAAGATCCATCTGTTTTATAGCAACTTTAGCATTGGTGTTAAGAGATTTGGCAACATAAACTGAACCGGATGCACTATTCAATTAAAATTATAAATAATTTTTAAATAATAATTATTTATTATTCAAGATATTCAAGAATAAATGAATAAATGAATAAATGAATAAAATTCTCACCCTTGTCCAACTTTCTTAATTTTGCTATACAAAGTAGTGGGATCACCTGCTGAAACAACAGATCTTAACTTGTCCATGATCTGAGCTTCCGTCATTGTGCTAATTCTTCTTTCTTGTGAAAGTTTCTTTGGTGGTTGTGCTTGTTGTTTAGCTGGAGCAATTTTTTGTTGTTGTTGTTGTTGTTGTTGTTGAGGTACTTGTTTGGGTGGATTTGGACTAGGTATACGTTGTTGTTGTTGCTGTTGCTGAGGAACTTGTTGATAATTTTTAGAAGGTTGCATTGTTGACTGTTGTTGTTGTTGCTGTTGTTGTTGTTGTTGTTGTTGCTGTTTATGATAATTATTGGATGAAGGTAAACGTTGTTGTTGTTGTTGGGAAGATTGAGGTGATAGAGGTAAAGATTGTAGAGGTTGAGAAGGTTGATTATACTTTATTCGAATTAAATAAGATTTAATGAGTTAGATTAAATTAGTTAGATTAAATGAGTTAGATTAAATGAGTTATATGAAAAAATAAAATAGATGAAAATGTAGTTATATTAATTTTTCAAAGAAAATAATTTTTATAAACTCTAAATGAAATGAAAATTAAGTATAAAATCTCACATTGGAAGGAATATGACTTGGACTAGGCGGTGGTCGCATATTATTTAAATTATTATTATTGGAATTCAATGTATTAGGAGGTCTTGGTGTAATCGGAGGTCGATTAGGTGGCGTCTGTTGCTATAATTTAAAATTTTTTAAAAAAATTATATAACATTATTAAAATGTGGTTAGAAAATATTTTTAGATACAAATAAATAAATATTAAATAATATTAAATAATATTAAATAATAATAATTTATAATAATAATCTATTACATACATAATTACTATTATGATTATTCACTTTATTTGAGTTATCATCATAATACATCGTTCGTGAAGAATCTGAAGATGCCATTGAACTATTGGATCTAGAATTATTGGATGCTCTAACAGGATCCATTTGTCTACCATTCATTCCATTATTACCCATATTTCCTCCGTGTGGAATTGGTGAGACTTTAGACATACCATATCCATTAGAGGATCCGTTAGGGTTAAGATATTGATTATTATTATTATTATTATTATTATTATTTTTTGGTAATAAATCTGCCCATTTATTATCGGCATTATTGGGAAATCCTGGAATTGGTCCAAGAAGACCATGATCTCCGTATTCTTCACGTTCACGTTTTTGATTTTCTGTATAAAATTCTAATACATCTAAAACAGCCTGAGGATTTTTTTCATAATCTTCTTTTGTTATGGCAGAAGATGTTAAAAGTTTTGTCCATTGTTCAGGCATTCCCTATTTTAATAATTAATAATAATTAATTTACAAAAAAAAAAAAAAAAAAATGGGAATAACATCTAACAAACAATAATAAACAGTAATAAACAATAATAACAGTAATAAACAGTAGTAAAAGTAGTAAACAGTAAAGGTAGATATCTTACAGTGAACACTCCACTAACTGGATCAAATCCCACATGTACATTATGAACAAAATTTGTCGGATTAGAAACGCCACTAAGAGGTGATCTCTATATATGTATATTTTATATATTTTTATATTAGAAATGTATTAAACATAAATATATAAATAAATATATAAATAAATATATAAATAAATATATATATATATAAACTATTTCATCATGCTGTTGAAACTTTGATTTACTGTAAAAGAATTTTTTTTTCACTTAGAAGTTCATTTGTACTTAAAATTAAATAAATAAAAAAAAATCGTGGAAGTAAATTTTGAACATCTATTTTGGTCTATATATACAATATATTTTTTCTCCTACCGTATAAATTTCATCCATCCAAGAATATAATTCTTCATCATTTTTGCATGATAAATAATAAGTTTTGTCTTTAGTTTGTATCTCGAAACAATATGGTTTCAAATCTGTCCGCGAGACGTTAGTAATCTCTTTAAGAAAAATTAATGCAACTGCTTGATACGTGTTCTATATTTCGAAAGGAATTAAATTATCAAAAAGTAAGCTCAACTATAAAAATTCTTAATAATTAATAATTGAAAGCAATCAGATGACTGTTTTACCTCGTTGCGATGAAATGTAAGGGTTTGGTCTCGAAGTAGCATCCATCGCTTTGACCAAATCCATGCTCTTAATCCCTCTTCCTTCACTGAGATATATCCCTTCTTCACAACGTGTGAATTCATCGAAACGCTAATGGAGCCTTTTATTAACAAGATTTAATCGAAAGAATAAGTTAATAAAACTTATGAGATTTGATGCAATCGATATTAAGTTTTCCTTTTAGGTAAAATTTTAAAACCTGTATTACCATGGCTTATGTCTAACCTCGTACAGCATATATAAAAATTTCACTTACACGGCCGTTTTTAAATGGAACACGAGCGACTAGTAATAAAAAATTTCATGGGTCACTTTAACAATAACTGGTATTGCAGGTGTCTTTCTCACCTTATTCAGTTAGCTGGGTTAATCGAGGACAGGTGAAAGAGAAACTAAAAGGAAAAAATGACTGATGATTTTTGCGCGCAACCATACAACCTTATATGTTTGAGAAATTATAGAAATTATATATGATGGAGTGCTTTTTTTTTCCGCATTCGTACTTTAGATATTTACCAATTTGGAATAGAGATAAATTCTAATCCATTTTGCATGTCTTTGATCGTCTTTGACAAACCAACTGCAACCAGCTAGCGAGAACTTTCAGAATCACATATACTTCAATTGATTTTTTTCCAATTTCAAACAAAATTCTGCTATTAATGCATGCTACATAAACGTGCCTTCCTTGCATCATGTGGTATTGTGTGAGTAATGGTTACGAGGCGGATAGATTCTTTAAAGGCATCAAAGATAAATTCTATTAAAGGCATCAAAGATAGATTCTTTTAAAGGCATCAAAGTTTATATGCTTCAATCCTTTCAAATTTTCTCTTGTAGAATAAAAAAGATTTTGTGAACTAAACTCTTTGAAAGGTTATCATTGATAAATTTAATTTGAGAATTGAATTATCATTATTTTATTAAAAAGGACAATATTCATATCAAAATAACTTCAAAAATGTAATGGAAGAAATAGAAAAAAAAAAGAATTCCCTTTTGATTATAAATTTGGGGAAATCAAAATTTGACCTTATATACAAGTTAAATAAAGGAAAATAGAACAAGTTTTGTTACAAATAGGTAATGAATAGATAGTAAATTTTACTTAAACAAGAAATAAATAAACAAGAATAGATAAAAATAACTAATTCATAAACTATTGCCGTCACCTATTTATAACAAAATTTTTTTCATATATATTCTAGTAATATTAAATTTTACTTGTTTCTACCAACTTAATTAAAAATCGAGTACCTATTTTGTCTTTCTTATCTATTCCATTGACAAAACTTTAACTTTCTTCATTCAAAAATAAATTACATTTTATTCTTTTATTCCCTTTTTTTTTACAAAAAAAAAGGGTTTCGAACAATCAATAAATGATCAATATAGCAATATTACAATATTCTTGCAAGTTAATTCTGAAAAGTTTCAAAGAATTCTTTACATATGACTCTAATTACCTTTCCATATTGAATTAGAATGGATATTGAAAGGGTTAAGACAGAAGAGTGGAGATCCCAATACATGGGTTGTAAACCCAGCATTCTTTCTCTCTAACCAAAAACGCACCTTTTTAATGTTGAACTTCTAGTTTGTTCCATGCAGACGCGTGTATATATAACAATAGAAATGACATAATATCGATATCTGATCGGTTATATGACACTGCCCCTAGAAATATATATATATATCACGCCCGTTACTAAATAACGCGTATTGCGAGATTGCGTTAGGTGAACAATAGATAGATAATCAATCAATCAGCTTGATAATTCACTTGATACTTGATAATTCACTTTGATACTTGATAATTCACTTTGATACTTGATAATTCGAATAATTCTCCTGATAATATTTAAATTTATCAAATGTGTCTTCCTCGCTTTTTCACCCGTCAAGTTCAATTATTTTTAAGACCTCATATAAAAACCATTAATGCGAATTGTTCTATTTTCCAGCAACCCGCGCAAAGGTTTCATTCTGAAACGAATAGTAATAGTAAAAGTGTAATAAAAAAAAGTTTTTCTGATATTATTTATAGTGCAGTACTTGCTTATACTACAATATTTAAAATTAAACATAACAATATTTTGTTGTTTCCAGTGTGTCCTTGCATATTTTATAACCGGTGGTTTTGCTTTATTCATTTCGGGGGATAATTCATATTCTTGGTATGTGAACAGATGTTATGAACGTCGTCTTGATGAAACCATGGAAAAAGGAACGCGACCTGAAATTGATTCATCGGATGATGCATGTGTTTCGCGACCGTTGGTGGTCGATCAACTCAATAAAATATTTCAACCATATAAAAATCAATCATATTATTATATGGTTTGTGGAGAGCCCGGAACAGGAAAAACAAAATTGATCAAAACTTCTGCCAATGAAGTTGGTCAAGGAGTAATCTATGTTGATGTTCCGGCAAATATTAATTTGTTTGGTGATGCATTAGGAAAAGCACTCAATTATGAATTTGATGAACACGTTTCTTATTCAAAACGTCTGATCCGGAAATTATTTGGTGCAAGTGAAAGTAAGATCACCATTTTATTACTATTATTATTATTATTATTTATTATTAAAAAAAAAAGTAGGTATTAAATTACCACTAATTCTTAATTGTTATTTATAATTTTTATTATTTTTATTAGGTGTAAAGGAACCAAAGTGGGTAAGAGCCACGGATGCATTTAAGCGTTGTGCCGAAAAATACAAAAATAAATATGGTAAACTACCAGTTATCGTTTACGATAACGTAAGCCGGTTAATTACTGTACATCCAGAAGTTATTGACATCCTTCAAGATGATGCCAAAGATAATGCGGATGATAAAAAATATATTTCAGTATTTGTTTGTAGCGGAGGAAATGTCCCCAGAAGGATGGAATGTAAGTGTTACCAATATAATAATAAGTTTTTGACAATATCAAAGATGTGAAGTGTTATTTGTTATTTATATTAATTAATTTATTTTTTATTTTATTTTATTTTTTTTAAATTTAGCTCGCAGTTCCTGGTCACGAGCGAAAAAACCAGTGATAGAAATCGGGGACCTTAACAAAGAAGAGTCAATGTATTATTTGATTAATGAACGTAAAATCAACGTAATTGATGCAACAAGATTATACGATTTAGTTGGTGGTCGTATTATGGAATTAAAAAATGTAGCGGATGACTTTTTAGCTGGACAAACTTTTGACGGTAGAAATTAGTTTTGATTTTTCAAATTTAAAATTATATAACTTTTTTTAAATTAATTGTTTAACTCTTTTTTTTTTTTTTCCTGTAGTTATCAAACAACAAATATTTGGTACAATTTATGATGATTTTGAAATGGCAGAGATGAATCCGAGCCAATCAAATCATGAAGCAGCAAAAACTGTAATCAGAGCTTTATCAAATTCTAATGATATGCTTCATGTCAGCATGCTCCGAGAATTGACTAAAGTGGAACCAAACAAGTTGTTAGAGGGTAATGTATTCGCATATCATCCGGCACATAAGGCAGTAACTTTTCTATCTCGCTCAGTAGAACGCTACGTTCAAGAAAATGCTACTAAATTTATTAAATGATTTAAATTCTGAAATAATTTTAATTATTAAAAAATAATTTTAATGATTATGAAAATAAAGACGTGTCACATGATAATGTGACCACAAATAAATTACTTATCATAAATGGCATTTATGGCTACTTGAAAAACATGTTTTATTATTGTTATAATGGGTTATTTGGTCATTTTAATGACTATTGTTAAAATTAAGAAATGAATGTAAATATGATTTATATTTTTTTTTATTAAACAAACATTCCCTACTATTCTTTATTTCTCTATTTCATCCGAAATATATATTTTTTTTGTATTTTGAGTTTTGAGTTGCATCTAACCAAATTTTCATGGGATTCACGTGACTAAAGGGACTACTTGTTTATAACTTTAATTGGATGTATCCTTTGTTTCATAAGGTTAAAAAACCCCATTATAATTCAAAGTGGGTTAAAATAAATTTTATTTATGTATTTATGCGGTATTACGACTTAATTTACTTTGAGTGATTTGTGCAATAAGACGCAGACAGAGTTTCTTTGTTTCCAAAAATGAGAGGTAAAGTTTGATTTTTTTTTTTAACTTTAACGTTTAAACCCAAACGTTCATCATTCAGGATCGTAAAAACAATTTTTTTTTTAAAAAAAAAATACCAAAATTATAAAGATACAGGCGGAAAAATTTTTTACGAAAATATAAAATCTAATAATTACATCTTAAACGGAAATTCATATGATAAAATCCGTTGAAACACTAACCGGAATTTGGCAGAAAAATTACCGGAATTTTTCGGTAAGCACACAATAGGATTTTGTACATTCCTTTTTTTTCATTCTAAGTTTTTTTTTTATGCAAGTTTCTATAAATGTATGCTATTAACTTCATATAAAATACTTTTAAAATATTTATTTGATAAAGTAACAATAATAATAATAATAATAATAATAATAATAATAATAGTAACAACTGCACTTTGCAATTTCTTTGCATCTTTTTATTGCACAATAAATAAAATGAATGACAATTGTAAAATAACAAAATAATGATAAAATCACAAAATAATAAAATAATGATAAAATCACAAAATAATAAAATAATGATAAAATGATAAAATGATAAAAAAAAAACTTTATTAATTTCAACTCCGAATACCGAAACCTAGTGTTACAGATACGCATATATGGAACAGATAAATAGAATAAAATTAAATTAATAATTGTAATAAAAAAAAATGGAATGGAATAATATACTGAATTTAGAATAGTTTATTTAGAATGGTCACGTGAAAAAGAAAGTTTTTGTAGAAATGTTAAACAATATTAAATTGGTACTTTGGTAATACTGCAGACTAATACCGTTAATACTTATTTATTTATTTATTTTACTTTTTGTATTTTAATGTTTTTTTTTCTTGAATATCTTTTTAACATTTATATAATAATAACCTAATAAAGTGTTATAATAATATAAATAATCTAATAATAATTAATCTAATATAATGTAATATAATGTAATATAATGTTTAGTATATATAAAGGATTAGTATTAATATCTAAATATAATTAAATATTTATTAAAAGATATGAACATATTCCGGAGGAGTGGGGGAAGTAGGAAGAGGAGACGATGATGATGATGATGATGATGATGATGATGATGATGATGATGTTCATTTTTGATATCCGCACACATTTAAAAAAGAAAAAAGAAAAACTAAATTTCGGTCGAGAGACCGTGGGTAATTTTTTCATTACTAAATCTGCACAGGTGAACATATACATTATTATTATTTATTTATTTTTATTATTATTACGATTATTGGATTTTTATTACTATTCTTTTACTATTCTTTTTTAAACATTCTTTTATTATTTATTTATTATCAATTTTTATCAATAATTACGTTATTTATATTAAAAATACTTTACAAATATAGAAAATACATGAAAAACAGGAAAATTACTGGAAAATTGTCATAAAAGTGAATAAAAAATCCCATTGTAGATTTTTCAAAGTGCAAAATAAAATAAACAGGATTTTTACCGGTTTATCTTATATACGATTTATCGATTTATGTGTGATTTATGTCTGAAGGTTACAAAATGAATAAATATTTTGATAAAGATTTTTTACATTACTCAGATATTTTCAGCCTTCTTGCTTATTGAAATATTTTGACTTATTGTCTCATCTCAATCAAAATTATTTACAAATATTTATTTTATTATTTTATTATTTTATTATTTATTTTTATTTATTATTTTAATATTATTATAATATTTACAATATTTACGTTTAATTATATTTTCTCTAATGTGTATGTGTGATCAATAATCTTTTGTTTTTTTTCCAAGTTCCCCGAGCTTTCTGGCTTTTTTTTTTTCTACTTTTCTAACTTTTGATTAAAACTTTTATTAAATTTTTGATTTATATATAATATAATATAAAAATAAAATATAATAAATTAATATATATAAAATATATAATTAAAAATAATCTAATATAAATTATTTAATTAATGATAAAGTTTTAATTGATGATAAACTCTTTTGATTAGAATTCGAGGACTAGTATCTGTACTACGTACCACATAGTTCTTTGTATTGTATCAGATACTACAAAGAACATAACTTGGCGGTTGCACCTACTTTTTCTTCAAACTAAATGTTATAAAAAAAACCCAAAATCCTTTTACGTCCAATTTGTTGCCCTTTTGCCCCTTTTTTGTTCAAGCCAACTGTTTGGCACTTCATCAAAAACGATAAAAAATATTTCTTTTACTTTTATCTTTACTAAACTTCTTCGTTGCTTAGATTTTTTCTTATTTTAACCCCTCTCCAGTTACAGTCTTAACTTGTGACTCGTGAAAATCTTTTTTTTTTTTTAATAATTCAAGAACGTGCAAAAAGGTATCAATTCAAAAAATTAACTTTTTACTTTTTATTATTTTTTATTATTATTTTTTATTATTTCGAGGAGTAAAATATATAGGATGATATAGAATTTACGCGACTGCGCATTCAATTACTTTACATTTTATTTCTATCCCGTGAGAATCTTTTCAATTTATTATATATATATATTTTTTTTTGATTCACTTAATTTTATTAATTTCTTTTTATCGCAAAATTCAATCAAAATCAAAAATTCAACTCGATATTTAATTAATTATTTTTTTCGTCATACCAGTATTATATACATACATATATCAATTAAAATGATTTTTGATTTTTCCATTAATTACATATAACTTTTAATGCACATCACCTTACAACCAATCCCACGCACATTTATATGGTCTCATCTTTCCTTTCTTTACCTTCATCCATTTTTTTTTTTTTTTTACTTCCCTCCAATTTCTAATTTAATGCATTTCGATTTACAAACTCAAAAGCTTTTCTCTTTGTGGCGCAGAATGTCATATTTTAACGTCACATTGCAGATTATGACTATATTTATAATCAATTATATTTATTATATTTAGATAGTCTACATTGTGCTACATAATAACATGTTTTTCGTTTCACATGAACTTTTATTTTTGTGGACAAACGACTCATTTCCTTTTTTCTCTTCACTTACTTTTTTACGCATACAGACTACGTAAAAAGGTTACTAAAGTTTCACTCACTACACATTTGGCTACTTGTTGTTATTATCAAAATAAAAGAAAAATATTCGAACCCTTCTTTGAATGCACGTCACAGACATGAGCACTATCGCAAGTCCTAATCAACAAAGAAAGCAAAGTAACGCTTCGGTTGAATTGTCCGAACAAACAACCCCTAGGGGAACTAAAAGGGAACTTGAAGATGAAGAAGATATGGATTCCGCGGAAGAGGAAACCGGAACCAAAAACGAAAAACGTGCGGGACGTCGTAAAATAAAAATTGAATATATTGACGATAAAAGTAGACGTCATATTACTTTCAGTAAACGAAAAGCTGGAATCATGAAGAAGGTAATTATGATACTATTTCAGAAGGGATATAAAATTAATATAAAATTAAAATATTATTATTAATATAATAATAATAATAATAATAATAATAATAACTTTTGACTTTTGACTTTAACTTTCGTAACATAAACTAACATAAATTTTAATTATATTTCTACATATATTTTTTTTTATTTATTATATATTTTATTTTATTTTTTTTTTTAATATTATAGGCATATGAACTTAGTACTCTCACAGGCACTCAAGTTTTACTTCTAGTTGTATCAGAAACTGGACTCGTATATACATTTACTACACCTAAACTTCAACCTCTTGTAACTAAACCTGAAGGAAAGAATTTAATTCAAGCTTGTTTGAATGCACCTGATGCACCTAGTGGTCAAGAGTCACCTACAACGGTATATATGAAACACATTATTTCTCCTGATACTGTTCGTGCTAAACAATCATCATTGTAAATCTTACCTAGCTAAATTTTTATTTAAGCTAGGGTCATCTTTAATGTAAAAATGATTTATTAAATAAAGCCATTTAAGGCCTTTCTTGTAATTTTATGATAATTAAATATCATACGTTTTCTTTTTTTGTATATTTGCCCTTATCTTCCTTTATATATACACCACACATCTTATTATTTAAATTCTAGGCACGTACAACGCAAAATGCTCCCGTTTACGGAAATGATAATTCAGCGCCTGTAGACAACAATAACAACGATGTTTACGATAACGATCGAAAGGTACATATAAATAAAAAATAATATAATAACTTTAATCAAACATTTTAATTGTCTTTAATAAGTTATTTCGCGCCTTTCATTATTTATTCGCTTTTTATTAATTAATTTAATCAATTATATTCATCTTTAATTTATAAAGCCACAAACACAAGGACAAATTTCACAACAGAGTCAACCTTATGCTATTGGCTTAAATCCTTATAATCAATACGGTATGTCTTTAGGAAATAGTGGAATCGCCGCACCACCGTACATGCCAGCAGCAGGTTATCCGCAATATAACCAACAACATCTAAATCAATACACATCAAATAATGCCTACATGCCAGCTGCGGGATATTGGTCTACCTCTAACACTGCTCCAAATGGAACTAAAGTTACTCAATACCCGAACCAATCTCCCGAAAAAAAATAAATTATTATTATTTTTTTTTTATATTATTTTATATTTTTTTTTTCTTTATAATTGTATAGGTTTTATTATTATTGTTTTCAAGTCGGCTGTTTTCTTTTATATAATATTTGTTAACCTCAACGTCTTTCTCATTCGATATGGGATTGCTTGATTTGTTAATATTTTTATTTTATTTTATTTTATTTTTTTCCCTCATGTAACATTTTCTTTTTTCCCTTTCCTTTTGATGATACACAAAAAAAATTTTACCAAAACCAAAAATCATCGATTGGTTGTTAATATATTTCCATACATTTCCATACCTTCCCCCACCACACCTTTACACATTTTATACATAATACTCGATTTCTCCTTTCATCTCTCAATTCTACTTCAAATCTATTTCTTCGTTCCTGTTCGTTTGTTTGTTTGTATACTTGAGTTCTAAAAAAAAAGCAGCCGATTTTACAAACTTTTTTTTATTGGTAGTTTACCTTTCTTGTTGAACAGGAATCCTTTTATTATTATTATTATATTTTTATTTTTTCTTTCCTTTTTTTTTTCTGGTTTACATACAGTAGTATTATAAGTTCACATGTATACAGTATTAGTAGGTTGGTTTTGATTGTTTGTTGGTTGTTGTTGGTAGGATTTATTATTATTATCATTATTATTATTCATTTGTATTTTTATCCAAGAATACAACAACAAAAAAAAAAGAATGTTTGAAGTATTTGATGTATTCTTGGATTTATCAAAAAAAAAAGTTTGATTTACCAAATGTTGTTGAAATATATACATATATATTATATATACCCTATAAATAAATAAATAAATACAACATAAAAACATTTATAATTTTTATACTTTTAAAAAATTATTTCTTCCATTGTTTCTTTTTTATTAATTTCATTTGAATATAAAAAACCATTGTTTATACCAGATACGATACGATACGATGATCTTTGATAAAAATATTTAATACAATGAAAAAACTTTTTCGGGATATTTTCGATCTTACACAAATTTATTAAAATTTAAATGAAAAACAAGAAATCAAAATTGAATCGTTGTCTATATGCGTGTTATAGTAATATTTGTGTGGCTTAACAAATTTAATTTGAAAGAATCCAAATCAAATTAATCACATAATAATCGATGATAAATTAAATAATACCAAATATGTAAAAATGTTAAAAAAAGAAAAAAAAAAAAAAATCAATTAACTGTGAAACGATATATAAAAACTTTAATAATTATTGAAATTTCTCAGTCTTTTATTGAGAACTTGTGCACAAGAAGTTTATCATAATATTTATGTACAATACATAAATGAAATATCCTTAATTACATACTACATTAGTATAAACTTGTATCAAATTCTGTGGCTATCCTTCTTTATCGAATCATCAACCCGTTATTTCCTATTATCGTAAAACTGTATTAGTCATTTTCCTTCTTTATCTACTAAGTTTTGTTTCCACTTTTTTTTTTTTTTTATTTATGGTAAATATTTTTAAATAAAAATTCATTATCATCATCATCATTATTATTATTATTATATTATTATTTTAACACTGCCATCATGCAGTTTAGTTATTTGCAATCTCAGAATCTTTACCTATCATAAATAAATCATTTTTTGAGAATTGGTACTGAGGAAATTAATTGACAAAGTAAAAGATAATTATGTTGGCAAGAAATTTTATCTTTTTATCTTCCTTACTAGCTCTTTTACAAGTTGAATGAAGAAAAATAAACAAAAATTTTTTTGACAAATATAACTGGGTATTGTTTGAATTTTGTTATATAGATTTCAAACTCATGATCTTTAACACATCCTAATTGCTTAACTATTATCTTGGTCTTAAATTCAGTATTCTCTTTTCTAAGTTTACCAATTTCAGATATAAGCCTGGAATTCAATTCCTTCAATGAATCGATTTTAGATTGTGTATTTGACATTATTTTTACATAATAAAACTGAGATTCCATCATGGAAAGAAAAGAAAATTCTCAGAACCATATTAACATATACAAATCCAACATGAAAAAAATGTTTGTAGAATTACGTTAACATGCCTTTTCTTTATTGATTGTAATAAAAAAAAAAAAAACTATCTATATCGTTTCTATATTGTTGACTACACTAAATTTTTAGTATTTCCAAACTATCTGTACCAACGCTATCTATAATCCCACTTCATTTCTGAATAAAATAAAAATGGTCACCAGTTATATATCATTTATTTTTTTTTTCGAGCCTGGAAGAGAAAAGGAAAAAATTCCACTTAAAGTTTATGTTCCTGCCTTCTGCAATGCTTAATAAATTTCTCGGAAAAGAATAATTATTAGTTCGAAAACCCAAAAGTTGATCCGTTGACATAACTTTTGATTTCTTCGTGTAATCGTGACAATATTTAAGGTAACCGCGTGAACTTCTTTTAAAAAATAAATATGAATTCACATTTATTTTCTACCTTTAGAATAAATATTATTATTATTTCTACTGTAGCGTCTTATAAAACAAAATCCGGCCTGAAATCCAGACAGGGTTACATTGGAAGAAAATCTCTAAACATTCGTTACAAGAATGTAAATTTTATCGAATGAAATACTTGACCCTCTTTCCGATGAGAAAAGAATTGCGGGATGCAGAGCCTGAGAGTTATATTTTGAAGAAATTAAATAATGACAATGAAAGAGCACTTGCACAATATCTTAATGAATTTATAATAAATGAATCGATTTACCATAGGCGTTCGGAGGCATTCACAGATAATTTTATTTGTTATCTTCTTACGGAATTAAAATTTAACAGATATCCATTAGTATTGAAGTTGCAACCAGACGTCAAGGTTACATTTGGCGTAGCAAAGAAAAAAAGGGATTATTTGTATAGATGCGGACACTTACACTCTTTGATACAACAGAATCACAATTATCAGCTGAAATTCTTGCATGTGCCTACACCAATTTTGAAAATGGTGACAATCCTATGTTTAGAATAGATCAAATGGTATACGAAGCATTTCTACTGTAAGTAGTAAATATTGCAAATCCCTGAAAAAAAGGATTCTCCCAAAGAAGCTAACTGCAACAATATATCATTTTCCACCAAACAATCATATGTCAACATTTTGTTGTGATTATGCTGATAAGGATCACAGACGTTCGATTCTTAATTTACTATATCGTTTAAAAGAATAATGTAACTTGATTTGACAATGGAAAGAGCCAAAAAGGTTTACAAGTTTTTTTATGTGTGTTGGAATAAAAATCTATCCCAGCAAGATCTATTTTTAATCTAAAATTGAACATTTATTTATCACCTAGAATTCATTTCTTTTGTTTCAGATATAACATCCGCAGTTTTTTGCCGTTCACCACTAATTCCAAACATATGTAAGGTTGTCCATCAGAAGACATAAGAACTGTTCCTATTAATTCTTGTTCACGAAAATTAACCCATCCATCAAAAGGAAGTGTAACTCCAACTCTATCAGATTTTAACTTATCAATCATAGAATTATTAAGATCTGCTGCCTCGCGTAAAATTCTATCTGATAATGTTCTTCTATCAGGTAATCTAAAAAGTTCAATTACTTCATTATTATTAACCCATGATAGAGCAAAATCCACAAAAGATGGTGGCCGTAATAATAGTGAATTAAAAAAATTTTTTTTTATCATTATTTGAAAGAGATCGTACTACAAAGGACCAAGATCGAAAAATTTTGAAGATTGTGATACAGATGAATCTTTTCGTGCTCTTTTGATGGTTGACTATTCGAAGTTGTTGAATTATTTGCTAATAATAAAATCATGTCATTTTAAATAAAGAAAATTTTTAATATTTTAGATTAAATGCGAGAATTTTTCTGGCCTTTTATTTAAAGTTGTTTGATTATTGGTTGCAAAAGAATATATTTCTTCTCTTTCTTCTTGATCATATAATTCAGCAAAATTTGTACAACTTTTAAAATAAAGTATTATTCTATTAGTTTTATTTACGATTGTCTTTAATTCTGGATTATTTTCATCATACATGCTTTACAATAATATAATTTATTACTGACATTAGTTTTTTTATTGTTAAAATTTTTTACTATACTATTACATACTAACCTAAAAAGCTATAGTAAACTGCATTTCCCATCCAATCTGTACTAGTACGGTCTGTACAAATACTGATAAGACATTGTTAATCGTGATCGAAAAAAACAAATATTTAAAATTTTGACATAATCAAATAATATATTTAAAAATTTTTGACCTAGATATTAAAATATCATTTTTCTGATGTCATGTACTTAATTAATGATCCAACTGTAGTAAAGCTCTAACTTTAATATACGATCATAAAATAAAACCATAATTCGCATAATTCGTGTAAATTAAATATCTATTTTTGCGTTATTGAATCTGAGAGGCAGTTAAACCAGCGATTGCATTAGATACTTTGCTTGTTAGATACTTATCAGATCTTATTAGACTAGCGAGCACGTGGATAAATATTCATTACCCGTTATAAACGTAATATAGTCACTTGCCATATACACACAAAAGCGGATTTACTTAGTTAATATCTCTTTGAAGAGCAATAATGGTTCAAACTCATTTACTTGAGGCATTTTCCTCAGGGAAGCCTCAATTACCTAACATGCTGATAGACGAAACCAGGTGGTTAGAAATCATGTTAGTTTATTAAGATTCTTCCAGTATTAACTTGTTACGAATTACGAATTGCAGTCTCCCTTATCCGTTTGCCGTAGACGTTTCCGTACAAGATTATAACTCTTTTCTTGAAAATTTCGAGTCAAATTAATACAAATTTGAATACAAAAATGGCACTGTATATATAGTCGAAATGAGCTTTGACGATCATGAAGCAGCTGTTAGTGTGCTGGGAAGATACTTTTGTGCCTACACTCTCACTTATACCCCTTCTATTTCTCCAATACTAGTTCTTGGTAGTCCATGTAAGAAATTTCCTCCAGTTGTTTGATCTCCTACTTATTGTTTTCTAATATTTTTCATGGTCTTTTATAGTCCATTACTCACCAGCTGAAGATGGAACTCTTATTGCACCGGATCTTGCTGCCCTGGCCTGCCACCTGGTGATATGAGGGTACTTTTAATTTGTAATATATAATTATCCATAACGTTAATATGGCTGGTTAATACTAATATCGTTGATATAGGGAAACCCTCACGCAAGAATAATTGCGAAGTAGCTGTATTCCGATCTAATTCCGACCTAAAGAAAAGATGCAAGCTTTGGGGAAAACAATCTTATGTACGATCTGTACTCGGCATCAAACTTTCGTGGAGATCGGGCAATGAAGGTACATATTATTGTTTTAATTATTATATAAATTTTATAAATATATTTAACATTTGAATATTAGGCGACACTTTGGCGGCAAGGCGTTCAAAGGCAGAAGGTAAGTTTGACTGTTGAGAATTTCTACTTTCTACTACTTGTGATGCTCAAAGTTAAATTTTTTATATGACAGTTGAAATTTGGTACCGTGAATAAAGATGGCTCCCCTATTGGTGTTACTGGTTGTAATGGTCTGAACAGCCATATAATCACGATTCCCGTTAGCGACATATTTTACGATCCTCCAGTTCCTGCAATTGGATACACGCCACTGCCTCCTCCTCCCCCAGCATTGATGACCGCTGTTTTTAGAATCGATTTATGTGACGTTCAGCAGATGGTTTTAATGTATCAACAAAAGTAAATCAAAAGACAACACAACTTTTAACTTGATTCGACCCTTAATACTTCACAACCCACTTCTTTTGAATCATGTGGCCGAGTTATCCATCAGTTAAATAGAAAATTATATAATTTCATCTAGCAAGGATGAGGCATCGGGATGAACTTTAATAATATTACTATTACAAAAAAAAATGACCATATATAATAAAATTTAAAACCCAAATTTGGGGTGAACGTTATTCATAAATAAAATCACATGAGCAGCTACATTGTATTGGCACCATAAGATTGAATTCATTTAATTTATTTGTCTCAATATTACTAAATAACTTATATATCTATGCCCCTTTGAGTTTTTTTGCGCAAATTATTTTATATCTCGGGATATGTTGCACTATTTCGTATAAATCCGATGCCGTGCGGTAAAAACCTTTCCCATAATAATACTAACATGTAATTTCTTCCTTGATAAGCTTTCATCACACGTATTTCGACATATCATGCTTTCTGATATAAATTGCTTAGATTTTTCGGTTGCGAATTTTTATTATTTTCCTCTTCATCAATAATAGATTCGACGGTTTCACCCTTGATAGACGTGGATAATTCTTCTAATAAACTTTGTACAATTAAATAACTTTATAAAAAACAATGGCAAAACACTTAATCCATTGATTTGTTAAGAGAATTCAATTCTAAACTTTTGACTGAGATTGCTGAACTTAGAAAGAAAGGAGAATGTTAATATTAAAGCTGATAAACTTGTGTGATCAATGGTAGGATGAAGGTTTATTAAAAATAATTCTATTATTTAATAATGAAAAATAAAATTTGAAAATATAAATTTATTTTATTTTTTTTGATAAATCTAATGTGTTACATGTTTATTAAAGGTGATTATTATTTATTCAAAATATCATTATTTCAAGCCAATGGACTTATCATTCTAATAAAATAATAAGTTGATTAAATAATTATGTTCATAGAATATTCTTAAAAAAATAACCACTGATCAAACTTACCTGATCAAAGAAGGTTTTGGATGACTTCTGGTAAATCCTATTGTTTAACAAAAAACAATATTCTGTTAACAAAATATTTACCTTTTTAAATTTGAGTAAAAAAATTTGGTTTTACCAAGATAAAGAATAGCTGGAATAAATCCCCAATGAACTATTGTTTTTGCGATTTCTAGAGCTTTTATTATTTTTTCCTAAAAAAAAGAAAAACGAAATTAATATCCAAAGCATTAGTAAATAAAATAATAAATTTAAATTTAATTACCTTTGTTTCTTCTCGCATTTTTTTTTTTTCGAGTAAATCGAGATCTATTAGATTAATAAGATTTATATAAAAATTTTTTAGAAAAATCACATGAGCGTTTATCATTAGTGACGTCATGTTCGCCAATATACTTTATTCATTAAAGGAAACAAATGATTTATATTGATAAATCCTTTAGTAAGACAGATTTATAGTTTTAAGTGTAATCATAAATATATTTTGAAATATAGAAAAAAAAGTCATTTATCAAAATCATTTTGGAAATGTTTCGTTTCTACGTAAGAAAAAAAAAACAGAGAACAGTTTGAATTTCATTCTTCACAATTAAAAGATTCATTATCATTATAATCAATTCTATACATTCTAGTTTTTCATTTCTATTAATAAATGTCTTTAAAATAGTCATACAGGTTTAGCTATTTTTATTAATTCTATAATTATCATCTTTAAATCCTCCGAAAAACCTTTAGAATTGTTGTACTACGGTCGTCCATCCTTTACGACGAACTCCCTTTTTTGCCCATCTAAAATTTAAGAAAGAAAGGAATATATATTAATAACTTTTTGACGAAATAAAAATTATAAAAACATTTTTAATAAAAGAATGCCTTACAATTCTAATAGTTTATCGCCTTTATTATTTTTCTCGCTATAACAAGCTTGTGGTAATAATGTTTCTATAACTTCATAAATTACTCTTGGCTTTGTTTCTGTTAACATATCTATAATGAATATAATGAATATAATGAATATAATGAATATAATGAATATAATGAATATAATGAATATAATGAATATAATGAATTTAATGAAATGGTGATAGAAACATGATGAATATAATGAATTTCAGGAATAACAGATTAAACCAATTTATCAACTTACCCGAATTTCCAGGTTTGATGAAATCAAATATGCAATCCGGATTTCTTTGATGACGTAACTCTATATCTCCATGCTATAATATGTTAAATAATAATACAATAAAATATAGATAAATATATATATATATATATAAATAAATAAATAAATAAATAAAATACCTTTCTAAAAATCAAGAGAGATAATTTAGATTTATTAAAATATCGATATGGTTCACGAGAAATCTGATTGTTAACGTGTTTTTTTATCCAGCAAAAGTTTTCAACATAACGAAAATTCCATTTTTCTGCTATCTGAACTATATCCGGTATAAATTCCTTTTCAACCCAAATAAATAGAAATCCCTTTGGAACAATATTTGTAATTTTAAGTTCACTCTTGAATTATTATAAAAAATGAAATTATATTAAAAAATAAATAAATAAATTCCAATTTATTATTATTAGTATTATCATTATTATTATTAAATAAATTAAAAATTCAAAGTTTGTTCACTTACAAATTGTTTCAACGAGATTTTTCCGGGAGATGGACTTTCATTTGGTAAAAGGAAGGGGGGATCAATATATAGTGCTTGAAAATCTGTTCCTAGTTTAGTGAAATCCATTGATAAAATATTTTTTTCGAAATATCTGTATAATAATAATAATAATAATAATAATAATTCTTCAATTCTTTAATACATTGTTATAAAACCAATTAAATATAATAATATAATCTCTACCTTGACCCATTAGTAATTGAAGATGACTCGTTTAATGGAGGTAAAATTGTATGTGCCCAAGAACGTGGCATTGGCAAAGAAGGAATTCTAATATATGTTGGAAGACTAGGATCTATATTACTATCCAAATGAAGATAAGAATCTAGATTATAATTTAAATTAATAATAAAATATTATTGAATCAAAGAAAAAATCAATAATATTTTATTCACCTTACTTTCTTCTTAATTGTGAAGAAATTTCCATTTCTATCTTGTAGTCTTACTTGCATAACTTTATATCGTTGCAATAGATTTTCTCTACCTAAATTTCGTCTACGCTCTGTTCCCGATCTTTCCGTTTTCCGTCGCTTTCTTTCTCCAAATTCTTCATCCCAAAAGTCATTATCGACTGTCATATAATCGCTATAAAAAAATTTAATAAATTTAACTTGTAAAAAAATAATTAATTAATTAATTAATCAATTAATTTTCTTAAAAGTATTCGTACTCCTCCTCCTCATATTCAGCAGTATTTCCATCTTCCATTTCAATCCTCCAATAATCCAAATCGTCCACCTCATCAAGGTTAGGTGCAAATGTGGCAGATTTTACTGTAAAACTTGAAGTTCTTCTAAAAACTTCTTCAAGTTGCTCTTCGGTTAAACTTTCATTTTCGGGGATCGAAATTTGACTAGGAGAATTATTTGAAAAAGATTCTGTAGATTTGGAAGCCGCAATTTCTTCTTGAATACGTTCCAATTCTTCAAACTTTTTCATTATTGCACCAATGGATTCATCATCTTCAACGTAACCTACATAAAGAGCATTACTAGATAACATTTATTCATACAGTTTAAATTATGTATTATTTCTCGAAATTGTAAAATTACGCGTTTTGTAAGTTTTTTATACCTTGCTGTTGACGTGTAAGGATTATGACGTCGTTTCCTCAAAGATCTTTCACTCATTTATTATTTTCTTATTCCGTAGATAAGTATTAAATTGACTGTATTGTTTTTATTATTTCGTAAGTAAATAAGTATTGAATTGAGTGAATTGAGTGTATTGACTTGTAAAATATGCAATTTAAATAAATTTCGCGTTTTGATTTATAACGGATAAGGTATGTGATAATTCATTATGTATATCACAATGTATATAATATCACATTTATGCATTATCTTTAGAGTTTTATGTAACATCTTTGCATTATCTTGTAAAAATTTGAAATTACTCATTGCAAGAAAAAAAAAAAAATAACAAACAAAAAAAAATATATTAATAATAAAAGTGAATAACAAATTAAGGTCTAGAATTTTTTTATTATGATTATATCTTGTAATATACAAAAACAATGTTTGTGTATGTAATTATTGTATGTAATTATAGATTATTAAATTATTATTAAGTTAAAAAATTTTCACCAACCCCTCTTGGCCATTAATTGATTATCCGTTAAAGTATCAATATTGATACCAACCTGAAAAATAAAATAAAAATAAAATAAGAAAAAATAAAAAGAAAAATAAAGAAAAATAAGAAAAAATAAAGAAAAGAAAGATACATCATAATATCATAATGTATATCGTGCAGCCATTAATAAATAAATGAAAAGAAACATACCATTGCTTCACCTAAATCTTCTGATACCTCAGCTATAATTTTAGGATCATCGTAATGAGTAACAGCTTGTACAATCGCTCTTGCTCTTTTTGCCGGATCTCCCGATTTGAATATCCCAGAACCAACGAATACACCATCACAACCAAGTTGCATCATTAACGCAGCATCAGCAGGTCTAATAAATTAAATAATCATCTTTAATTATATATAATCTTGATTATTTGATTATTTGATTATTTTAATTATTTGATTACTTACGTTGCAACTCCTCCCGCTGAAAAATTCACAACCGGAAGTCTTTTTAATTTAGCAGTTTCCTTCAACAAATGATAAGGAGCTTGTAATTCTTTAGCATAACTGAATAATTCTTCGTCGCTCATAGCAGATGCTCTTCTGATCTCATTATTAATGGTCCTCATGTGACGAACAGCTTCTACAATATTACCGGTACCTGCTTCACCTTTTGTGCGCATCATGGCTGCTCCCTCAGAAATGCGACGAAGTGCTTCACCTAAATTTTTTGCCCCACATACAAATGGGATTTTAAAATTATGCTTATTTATATGATTTTGTTCGTCGGCAGGTGTAAGAACTTCTGATTCATCAATAAAGTCTATGCCGATAGCTTCTAATATCTATTCAGGTTATTAAAAAATGAATCAAAAATTTTCAAAGAAAAAGAAATAGATATTAAAAAGATCTTATATACCTGAGCTTCAACAAAATGACCAATCCGTACTTTAGCCATTACGGGAATGGTCACAGCCTCTCTAATTTCTCGAATCATCTTTGGATCCGACATGCGAGCCACTCCACCTAAGATTTAATAATACAAAGATTATTAATAATTCTGGTTAGAATAGTATTACAAATAGAATGAAAATCTCGTCTACCTTCTTTTCTAATGTCAGCTGGTACACGCTCTAATGCCATAACGGCGGCCGCACCAGCTTCTTCTGCTATTCTAGCTTGTTCAGCATTAATAACGTCCATTATTACACCATTCTATAAAAAAATAAAAAAATAAAAAAAAGGACCATTAATTGTAGAAAATAAACTTTAATTGTTATTCCAAAGCAATAAATGCATACTTTCAAATTCTGAGCGAGACCAGTCTTAACGGAAAATGTAGCTATAACACCGTTATGAGAAACTTTGGGTATCTTATTATTTTCCATTCGTGTAAGATTTGCTGGAACTGTGAAAAGTTCAGACATTGTTTTTTATTATTTATAATTTTATTATTTTTTTTTTGAAATTGTTAGTCAGAAATAAGAAATATGAGTAATCTTAAAATTAATTTTATCGGATGCATTAACAAAAATAGAAATTCAATCAATTCAATCAGATCTACTGTCATATGATACATACGATACACAATGATTCAAAGTGTGTTAGTCTCGTGGTCTCAATAATTTCAAATAAGAAGAAACATTGTTGCATTTTTTGAGAAATTAGATAATTTAATTTTTTGTTTTTTTTTTTTTTCGACAGCTCCGATCTTAGGACAATGAATTCTCCAAAAACAAAAATGGTTGGTAGTTTCAAATTATTATAAAGCTTTTTGCAATTTTCCGAAATATTTTCCAAGAAGGAAAAATATTAATTGTAAATATTGGCCGACCACTAAATTGGAACCGATACCAAAATGAGATCTGAATAAGTACTAAATAAGAATTAAATGAGAATTAAATGAAGTCACTGGGTCACTAATTTATTACCCACGATAATATAATATAATCGTAATTTATTTTTTAATTAAATTAGGTATTTTGGCAATAATCACTTATTTTTTATTAACAAAGATTTTTTTTTTGATCAAATTGAGATAAAAAAGATAATTTTTTTTTGAAACAAGGAAAAAAAAATGCAATATGTAATTATTGTAATTATTGTTTATTTAAATTCTATTTTAAAGAAAAAAACACTCTTTTTACCTAACAAAACAATACCAACCAAGATTTTTGGTAAAAAAGAAAATCGAACCTTTCTTTTTTTTGAAATAATGCGAATGTGGAAAAAAGGACAATACTTTTTTTTTTTTTTTCATAAAAAGGTGGTAGATAAAAATATACTTAATTTTATTAGTCAATTTCTTCTAACAAAAAAAAATTATATATTTTAGAAAACAATAATATATGAAAATATTTTCATTATTATTATTATTATCATTATTATTATTATTATTATTATTATTATTATTATTATTATTATTGTAGGTAAAATTCTATTTTAAAACTTTCATTCTTAACGAATCTAGTTAGTATTATTATAAATATAACAAAGGATAATTTGTTATATTGCATTTTCAAATAAAGTAATAGTATTGTTTTTGGATAATATTAATTATATCAAACGCATTAAATTTTTTTATTGTATGTACCCATTACGACAACATTAACGATAGAATAATAAAGAAAATTATATCTTTATAAAACATAACATAACATAAAACTTATTTATAAATAATATATCGTTTATATAATATATATAATATATAATAAATAATAATATAATATAATTCTTCATAAATATTATAATAATATTTCGTATATTATAATATTAATAATAATATTATTATTATTAATAATAATAATAATAAAATAATAATAATATATCCCCGTATAAACATTTAAACATTTCACTATTTTTATATTTTTTCTATCAGTACATCGTATAAAAATCACATAAGCCCGCATAGAATTACATAAATTACATAAATCAATAAATAAATTAAATTAAATGATAATAAATAAATTGCATAAATGCTAAAAATAAATAAAATTCACGATTGACTTTTTTAGTATTTGCCTTTTAATAGGTTCATTCTTTATGTTCTCGAAAATATATTCTTGATTGTGTACTCGATTATTAATAGTACATGAACACTTTTATATTATTATTATATAATACAATACATATAATTGTTATATTAATTTAATTATTACTTTAATAAATAAAATAAATTATTATTTTTTTTTTTTTAATATTAAATTAAACTATTTTATCAATCAAAATAAAGTCATCATCATTTAACTCGGAGTTATTGGAGAAGTTTATATAATTTATATATATTTTATAAAGTTTAGATAGTTTAGATATTACAACAATCAATCTCCCTATTAGTTAGAAAGGTTAGAAAATGGTTGTAAAGGAAATGAAAGATTGAAACATGTGGTACTTTCGTGTTACTTTGATTGACATTTAAAGAACAATCCTCAATTTAAATTATTAGTATTCTTAAAAGAACCACAAACATTACCTTATTTTAGTCTTTGTACTCGCATTTTTTATAGATGGACTTTTGTCCTCCCTACTTGGTTGATGTTTTTATAAGCATAAGGTTCCCCTCGATTCCCCAATTTTTTTTTCTTACCCAAGTAGCCAAGTAGACGCTTATAGATTGAACCTCTACCCGCCTGCGGAAAGAAATTCTTCTCTCTCAGGTTTCCATTTTATATCACCAAGGAGCTGCGCAGCCTTGAATCTCCATCTCGTCCATCTCGAAAGTCAATATTATTTGTTTGATACAAATTTTATCGGCTCTATCATCATTTCCTTAACCTTATTTACTACTATTTTACTACTATTTCTTTTTTCTTCTTCTTCTCCTTCTTCTTCTCTTCACTTTTCTTGTTTTTTTTGTAAAAAGACATCTCTGTTTTATATTATTTCCTTCTTAATAAATTAAAAAAAAAAAGTAAAAATGAATTCAGTAGTAGAAAGTACAATGAAAACCTCGATGGAGCAAGTTGACGACCTTAAATACTGGCTAGCTACTGCTCCAGTTAGTTGGGAAGCTGACCAAAACATTCGTCGCTATCTTCTTCCCACTGGTGAATATATTTCATGTGTTCTTTGGAATAGCCTTTATCATATTACAGGCACCGATATCGTACGGAGTCTGGTATTCCGCTTTCAAGCTTTCGGTCGACCCGTAAAAAATATCAAAAAGTTTGAAGAAGGTGTGTTCAGTGACTTACGAAACCTTAAACCAGGCATGGACGCTTCACTCGAAGAACCTAAATCCGAGTTCCTTGAAATGTTGTATAAAAATAATTGTATACGTACTCAAAAGAAACAAAAGGTATTTTACTGGTTCTCCGTACCACATGACCGTCTATTTTTGGATGCTTTAGAACGAGACTTAAAGCGTGAAAAAATGGGTATTGAACCTACTACCCTTGCCGAAGCGGAACCTGCTCTTTCCTTTTCATTCGATTCTACTCAATCATTGTATGACCAATTCACGAAAGGAATGTCTCCTGACTCTTCCGAACCCTCTTCACCACAACTTCATGGTTTGGTATACGATGTATCTGTACCTCCTATGGCCCCAATCAAGTCAGATGATCCTTCAGCAGTTTTGTATTCACTTGACCAAGAGTCATTGGGTAACTCAACTTCCGCTCAACCTTCCTTGGGTACATTTGCTTTGTTCCAACCAATTCCACAATGCGAACATCCATTAGTTAAACCTCAAATGTATCCTTCACCAGACCTAAGTTATTGCTCAATGGATGAACTTCAAAAACCATTTGAAGCCAATTCTCCTCAAGAATACTTTGGCGGTTCTCCTTGGAGTACTTCTACTTTAGAAGACCAATATATGGATAATAGTCGTCACTCATCTCCCGACAATTTAGATGGACATGTATCTAATTATTCACAAGCCATTGTTCCCTCATCAACTACTACTTCGGCTTATAATAGTCCTAATTCTGCTGCCACGGCTGCCAACCTTTTTGGAATGTTCTCCATTTTCGAGGGTACACCAACTTACAAACAAAGAAGACGAAGAGCAAATTCCTGTACAAATGTTAACGCAAACAACAATAATAATTCTCAACCCCATCGATCCAACGCAGCTCCTTACTCTCTTAAAACTTATACCTGCCCACTTCCAATATGTGGTCGTCTATTTAAACGTCTCGAACATTTGAAGCGTCATGTTCGTACTCATACCATGGAGAGACCTTATTCATGTCAAGTTTGCGGCAAGAGGTTCTCTAGATCGGATAATTTGGCACAACATCGTAAAACCCATGAACGCAGTCTAAGTAATTCCCCACCACCTTCTGATGATGGTTCTTGTAATTCTGATCTCGGTTATGATGACGGCATGGTCAATGAATGTTACGCTTATGACAGCCCCGAATTACAATCTACCTGTGTACCAGATGGACTTGCTGTATATACCACGGAACCTTCAAATTATCCAATTTTCAGTTTACCCTATCTAGAAGGAAACACTGGGAACGGAATAATTGTCTAATTTTAATGTTTTTTAGTATTATATTTTATTTCACATATTGTACATCTACACCTTCATCCGTTACGCGGGGGAAAAAAAAAACAGCTACTGATCAAGTAAAAAAAAAAATTTTTTAATCATTGGGTGGAAAAATGGACTTTATTATATATATATTTTTTAAAAAAAAATGTATTGTGACGTTAAAAATTCTTGGGTTTTATACATATTTTTATTTCTTTTTTTTTTTTTTTTTGTTAATATATATATTTTTTATTTTATTTAAAAAAAAAAAAAAGAGATGGCAGGCACGTCTTCATATCACAACAATTCTATTTCCCTTTTCTTCTTCTTCTAATTAATTATATCCGTTATTATACCAAGTTCGAAATATTGTCATTGTAATATTTTACAACGGGGAATTAACTGGCAAAGTATATTCATTTTGTTCTTTCAAAAATGGGTAACACATATTTTTGATGATCAAAAATGCCTGCTCCTTATCTCATATCGCATTTGACCTTTTAAAGCATCAAAAAGAAAAGGGAAACGACTGGTTCGTTACCTTCTTTATCACAAAAAATTCAACTTTGTAATTATTTATTATAAAAAAAAATTCTTTTTGTTCATAAAAAAAAAAACAAAAACGAACCAAAAATCTTTCTTAAAAGTACATATTAATTATAGTAGTTCTCTTTTCTCCACTTAATACTTTCCTTAATTTTTTTTTAACCCCGTCGTGCTTTATTGCATGATTTTTTTGTAATATATATATACATTTTTTATAGTTTATTTAGTATAGCACGTTGCCGGTCAATTTGTTGTCTCATATTACCTTTTAAATAATTTTTCTTTTCTTTTTCTTTTTTTTTTTCTTTTAATTGTTTTCTACAATCTCCTTTGATTCTCTTTCACAATCCTTCTTTTTTTTTTTGATTTTTTTTTAGCAGAAAAAATTTGTAAACATAAATCATCCCTCCCCTTTTATATAGTTACGATTTTGGTACTTCCCCCTTTTTTTTTTTTGTTTTGGAAAATTATGCGAAGGGTTTTCCTGGTGGGCTTATATCCGATCACAATGGAAGTTTCTTCAGGATGATTTTTCCGCGTAAAGTACCAAAATAATAATAAAATTAAAAAAAATTTTTTACTAATAATTATGTTTTTTTACTTCATTAATTAAATGAGGTATGAATCAAAAAAAAAAAAAAAAAATTTACTAAAAAAAAATGTTATTGGTATTCCATTTTTTTTTTCCCTCGACCTTATTTCCCCTATAATATAATAATATAATAATGCCCAATGAAATAATAATAACCAGAAAATGATTTTTGCTGATTATAGATTAGATTGAATTAATTTTCCATGGAAAAAAAAGATTGAATCCCAATTACATACAATATGTTACATTTGAAATTTCTGAAATTAATATTTCTGAAATTTATATGAACAAACAAAATAATAATTATTTATAGATATAATAAGAAAAAAAAATATTGATTCGCTTTATTGTTTTTATTATTATTATTAGAGTATGTCTTCTTTTTTAAGAAGTAATAACCTTTATTTATTTCTTTTAAAAAAAAAAAAAAAGGGAAGGAAAAATCCAAATTTTGAAAAAGAAGTTGTTCGCATTTGTGTGAGGGAATCAGGAGGTAATAATATATATAGTCCCTATTATTATTATTATAATTATTACTTTAGACTAAAAATTGTTATAATTTGTTATTAATTAAAAAATTATTAATAGAAAAAAAAAAAAAAAAAATGGAAAGACAAAATTAAATAAAAGATCATATATAAAATTAAAAATTAATATATAAAAATATTTATATTATGTTTATTTGTTTGGTGTTCGTACAAATTGAAATTATTATAATTATTATTGTTATTACTTTTTCCCCAGTTTTCCGATGTATAGAACGTAGAATATGTAAACAATTCGATTCCAGACTTTTTGCTTTGTTTTGATTTTGCTTTGCATATATTTGTTCTTTTTCCGATACCTTAAAATAAACTAAACTTTAAACTATATTTTTTTTTAATGTGCCTAGACTAATTTCGGTATGCACCCATTTATTTTTTCCTTTTTAACCAGTTAGAATAGGTTTTAAATTATTATTATTGTAAACTAAATATAAATAAACTGTATAAAATAAACTATATAAACTATATAAACTATATAAACTATATAAACTATATAAAACTTTTAAAGTAACTCTATTTTTTATGGATCTAACCAATTCTAAAAAACCCAATAAATTATAGTGTTTACCAATCAAAAAAAAATATTATTAATCCTTTTTAAATGCCAAGATTTTTTTAATTAAAATTTAATTTTCAATTTTGTTCATCCAGATATAATTTATAAACATATGCAAATATCAAGATTAAGGTGGTTAAAATAATCAAGAATAATGAGAATTTTCCTATAAATAATAAATAAATTTGTTTTACGTAGTAATAATAATAATAATAATAATAATGTGAAAGAATAAACAAAAATTTTTTTACCATTATTAAATTTTTCAGGAAGTTTTATAAGATTAACTGAATAATCCACTGATCCACTCACAACTAATGTTGAATCATGATTGAAATTTACGCTCGTCGCGGGAAATTCATGTACATTGGGTACAGTAAGAAGGATCTTTATAACAAAATTTATAATTAAAATTAAATTTACAATAAAAATAATAATATATTATTATTATTATTATTATTATTATTAACTAACCCTCAAAGTATTAGCATCACAAATTTTTAAACTTTGATCCGAACATCCCAAAGCCAATAGATTTCCATCGTCACTATGAGAATAATAAAATATTATTAATTAAAGAAGAATGATATGTCACCTAATTGAATTATTCATTTACCTTATAGCGAAAGAAGTAATTGGTTTTTTTGAGACAACTTTAGTCAAAATTCTTTCCAAAGTGATAGCATTCCATTTAACAATAAATGATTTGGTTTTAGATGTTAAATTAACCACAGTAAATAGAAATCCATCTGATTTCCCTTTACCAAATCTAAAATATAAAATATAAAATATAAAATATAAAAATAATAATCGATATAAAAATAAAATAAAATAAAAAAAATTAATAATAAATATAAATAAATAATAATCAAAATAATTAAATAGGTAATAATCAAAAATAAGTTGCTGAATCAAACCGGCATGCTCTAAATTGACATTGAATAACTTTTTGAAAAATAGGACTTTCTAATGAATGAATACATTCTCCATTTTTAATAGATAATATTCGTAAAATTTTGGTAGAAATTGCTACAACCTATAAATAAATAATTTTTAAAGTTTAAGTTTATATATTAATATTTTTTTAAAAAAAAATTTGGAAAGAACATCACCTGATCACATGCTGGATTAAAATCAGCATCATAAATCTCTTGTTTATTAAAATTCAATGGAGGAAAAGCGACTTCCAATGATGGATATTTTAAAACTGTCAACTAGAATTAATGAAATTAATAGAATAGTATTAACGAAATAAAATAAACATTAAAAATATATATATAATGATAAATAAAAAAGATATGTACTTTACTATCAGTTCCTCCAATGGCTATAAATTTACCATTACTACTGAAATTAGTGACTCTTTGAAAATCATATTCATTTTTACTTGTTATGGTTTGAATTTCTTTGATTGATTTAATTCTATAACAATTTTGAATTTAATTATTATTTAATTATTTGATTGTTCTTTAAATTATTATTCTTTTTTAATTATTTTTTGATGAATTCATACTTATTATTTGAATATTCGAATGTTCGACAATTCTTATTTTCCCCTAATTCTATCTTTTCTTTTGAACTATTAATACCACAAGCAATAACATTTTCCTATACAAAAAATAAAAATAAATATTTGATCAGATTTGATTTCTTTTTTTAATTAAAATTTATAAGGATATATAGTACCTCGGGATGAAAAGTTAGACAACTTGGTGCATCCTCATTTTTATTAAGTTCTAATTCCGTAATTTTTTCAAAAGGGGTTTTCTCAGTAATATTCAACTTGTATAACTCCTTGAAAAAGTATTACAAATTTAAAAGAGATATACAATATATATATATAATAATAATAATACAATAAGACATAAATAATAAATATAATAAAATTAAAATAAAATTTTCACATACAAATTTATTCTTGATACCACTTTTAACAGACCCTCCTCCACCTCCAATAAGAATATCTCCTGCAGGACTAAAGCCTAATATTGTTGTTTTATATAATTATATAGTAATTATTATTTATTTTATGATTATATAAACTAATGGTAATGATATTATTTTTTTTTACCAGCGCAATACACTGGAAAGTCAACTTTTAATTTAAATGTTTGCATTATTGTTATTTTTCAAAAGAATTTGATAAATTTTTATATCTTGAAAATAAAATTCTTTTTGAAAATCCCGTGTAACACGAATAAAAACCCAGATTTATGCTTGTTACTATAATAAGAAATCATCCCGTAGCACACGTTGACCAAATTTCTTCTCTCCAGATAAATTTTTTGCGGATCATTTATTTTATTAAAGAAACAATAAATAAGTGGGTTCTTGATCATAAACTAAATAATCTCGAATTATACTGGTTTTTGTAAAAATAATTCCATCGAATTTGCTCTATTATATTTAATTATTATTTAATCAGTATTATAATATTTAATTATTAAATTAATTTATAAAAAATACAATTCTCCAAATTCCGAATCTTCAAGTCCACTGGTGGCAAATAATCATGGTAAGACTAATACCAACCAATCCTGCAATACAATAGCAATATCAAAATCTTTAATGGTCATGATACCATATTTATTATGTACAGTATCTTTAGCTGATATCTGTTATAATATCTCTAAATCTAAACTATTTGAATTATTTACAAGAAAAAAAATAATAATTATAAGAAATAAGAAATTCAATTGTTATGGTTAAAATTTAAAATTATATTATAAAATTTGTACTCTTTTTTCAAGCATAAAGATTCATCAATTACATCAACTACAACATCAAATTCAAGAAGCAAATGTTGATCTTTTTCATTGAAATCACCTGTATATTTAAAAAAATTAAAAATAAAAATTTTTATAATTTATTAAATTTATTATTAATTTACTTTTACAATTATAACTCACTTTCTGTATAAGTTCTTTACAATGGTTCTTTCTTTTCAATATTGTTATGTCATCTTCAATTATATTCATACTATATATGTTTCCAAAATTAATTCTGATTTTTTGAAATGTTTCATCTTTTTGAAATTTTTGAGATATCTATTCTATATATAGAAACAAAAAAAATATCTAGTTTAATGTATTTTCAATCAAAGAATTTATCTGGATAGTTAAAAAATTTTGAATTTTAAAAAGTATTTCCTTATATATATATATGAAAAGTGGTGGAGGTTTAACCAAGTAAGTAAAATAATAATAATATTTATTTTACACCTATCAGAAATTTCATATAATAATAATATTTTTTTTTACACCTATTGAAAACATCATTAATGTATATTTTCTTTTTTTTAACTTATAAAACATATGTAGATCCAATTGTAATCCATGTTTGTAAAAAATAAACAAAAAAAGAATTCAAAATATTCTTTTAAAAATTTGTAGAGAAGAATATTCACTCTTCTTGAATACTTAATAATAAAATGTCATTGAATGAAAATAGAAATAGAACAAAGTTAAAGTATTAAAACTTAATAGTAATAAAAAAGAAAAAAAAAGAAAATGAAGAAGAAATTGATAATAATGATGATATAATTATTGTTAATAAAAGAAAAAAAAAGTTAAAATTATCATCACCATTATCAAATAAAAAGAGAAAGCAAGAATTTTAAAAGAAACATTCAAAGAAAAGCAAAAAAAAATATATAAAAAAATATAAAAAATAAAAATTTCATTTATTTTATTAATATTTTAGAACATTATTATATTAATAAAATTAATTAAAATATAAATTAAAAAAACTGTATACAATAATATTACCTGTTGGGAGAGTAGAAGCAAGTACAAGAAAAGTACTTGGATTTAACCTAGCAATTATCAGAGATTTTGGAAGTATGGAATATATAAATATTAACAAAAGAACTAATCTATTATATAGGAACAAAGAAAGTAAAAAAATCCAAACTTAGAACAATTAAAAATAAAAATGGATGAGGATAAAAGATAGAACAATAATTAAAGAAAGATAGAAATGGATTTTAAGTCAAAAGGATAATTTAATTAGAATAAGATAGTTTCACTAAGGACTTAAATAGAAAATATAAATAGTTTTAAATAAAGAAAGTATAGTTCCAACTAAGTCACATGATCAAATGAGTAAGAAAACAAGATCAATAATTTAGTTAAAAATTTAAGACTCAAGAATATGTAATTTATAAGTTTATTATTAATCCAATAATAATAAAGAAAATAAGAAAAAATAAATGTACTTATAATAAAGAAATAAATCTTTACAAATATTAATATTAGAAAAACAATAAAACTATTATTTTGAAGCTTAAAAAAAGAGCTTTGAATTTTAAGTAAAATAATTTTGTTTTCTATGAAAAACTATTTTGATCTTTTTCCTAAAATTGCAATTTTGGATTTCAAAATAATTTTGCATGCAAGTATATTTCAAATACTAACAGTAACATATATGTAGAGTTTCAAATAGGTTGATTTATTAACTTGTATATAACTTACATAATATAAAATACTATTATAAAAATATAATAGTTGTAATTCATATTTAATTTATATGAAATTCCAATTTGTATAATTTGAGAATTAATTTGTTACATATATGAGTCCTATATAAGGTTACCAGGTGAAAACTATTTGAAGGTTTGGAAAATGGAAAACTTATATATTAGGAATTATATAGAGGTGTTCTAGTATGCTGTAAATACAAAATGTTCAAATAATATACTTGAACATTGTCATTTAGTATGCTATAAGCATAGAACATTCAAATAATGTATTAAAAAATTATGTTCTAGTACATTATAAATTCAAAATGTTAGTGCCATTTGAATAACACTATATAATGGTATTCATATAGTATTATAGAATGTTTTTATTTAATTTCTGATGTAGTTTTTCAGATTTTTTATTATAATTTTAATATATTTTCAACAGTTTATATGAGTTACTATAGTTGCAAGTTTTACCTGACTTATTAATAAGTATTTAAAAAGGTTTCATCAAGTTTTACTTGACTTATTAATAAGTACTTAATAAGGTTTTATCAAGTTTTATCCTTTTATCATTTTCTGGTTTACTAAACCTACAGGTTTCACCCACCTTAGTTCTATGTTATTTAGATGGTAAAGATATATACTTACAGTTATTTTAAGTAATGTACACAACTAATTATTTTTGATGGATATGTGATTTCATATTCTATATATTACACAATCAATATATATTCGCATTATTTAAAAATAAATCTATCAAAAAAATAAATAAACAAATTGATTTTTTTTTTATATTTATTGAAATAAAATATAGTTACTATGTATTGTAAAGTATATTTACTACCCAAATTCAAATGCTAAAATCTCAAATTCCAAATTTTAAATCTCAAATTTTAATTGTTTTTTTGCCAAAATCTCAAATCCCAAATTTAAAATTCCAAATATTATGAATTTGAAATTTTGAACAACACATATAATGTGAAGTAATGAGTGATAACTTTATTAATGCTGTAATAATATTTTAATGCCTTCAAACTCAAATATTAATGTACCTGCATTGAATGAATGAAGAAAAACGGGAAAAATTTTTTGATGCAGATATATGTAAATAGACAGGGAGATTTGTGAATAATATGCAAATAGACAGGGAGCTTTAGATGATACACAAATATGAAGTGCATAAAAAAATTGCACTCAGATTTTTGACATAATTGTCTTATCAAAATTTAATAGTAAACAAATGTCTTAAAGATAAAAAAGAAAGATTAATAGTAAGACAGTTAGAAATATGATGAGTTGGGCACATGTTAGATTTAGGAATCTATTGATATCCAAAATAGAAGAACTTAATAAAATTGTAATAACTTTTGTATTTGAAGCTTATACAAGTAAAACTTGTAGTAATTGTGGATATATCAAGAAAAATTTGAGTGGAAATAAAGTATTTAAATGTGATAGATGTGAACTTCAGATTAATAGGGATTTAATTTGTGCCCGAGGAATTTTTCTCCAGGCTCTGTAGTTATGCAAGTTGATTAGTTATAGTTGATCAATTCAATCCATCCGGAGTTGTGTTTTCTCTTTTACTCATTTTTTAGATAATGAAAAAAAAAGACATTTTATATAACAGAAAAGGGCAAATTTTTATTATTATCATTTCGGAAAGGATTGTTCATTGTTTTATTATAAATAAATTTCACGTAAGAATTGACAATTATTGTAGGTATCTTTGCAAAAAGGTGGATAATAATAATAATAATAATTTACATATATATATATATACTCTGTAAAATACAAATCAGGGATAAACAAAATAATTGAAATAATCAAAAATAATCATCGAGCAATATGTGTCATTTCTAACTTTTCGAAAAGTTTTCTTGCTACACTAATATTCATTTGAGTCGCAGCTGATTCTATAATAGAATTAAAATATAAAAATATAGATATATACATATAAATTAATTACATTGTAATATGATAAAAAATATTTAATATATTTAATTATTTTTACATACCAATAGATGGATCCGACATGATAACCATGATATATGTATTCGCTGTTAAAATATCAAAAAATGCAGCAAAATTTGATTGCCGAATTTCCATACTTCTAAATTGCGAATGAGCTTTACTATTATTAGTTATTAAAAAAATTAAATTAAGTTAAATTAAATTAAATTTGTACTAATATTAAATGATAATAATAATTTAAATAATAATAATAATAATAATAATAATTTAATTTAAATAATCAATTAATTTATTGAATTTCGTACTCACCTACAACTTAATTTAAATTGTTTCATATAATTACTAATTTTCTCAAATCTGTGAGCATCAGGATGTTCAATCAGCGTAGAATGAGAAATAATCAAAAATGTGGTTCTTTCAAATAATACAACTTCATCAGCTTCACAAATAGTAGCAAAATTTTGTAGGTGTGATTCAAAAAGTTTTACATTAGGAATTAATGAATGAACTATTGACGACCAAGCCTACAAATATATATATATTATTATTATTATTATTATTATTATTTTATTCTTTGTTATTTACTCTGTGATATAATTCGGAGATTATTTATGTGAAGAGTTTGCTAACCTTAAAAAGTGTCTCGTCCCATATAGATGTGGCAAATGCAGTAATTTTCAAAGGTTCGGATCTCGTTTTTAATTCATTATATCTTTCATTAAATATCTATAAAATGAAAAAAAATTTTTTAATGATATTTCAATTGTTTATATTTTATTTTAAACTTATTACTTACTCGATTTCTTTCCTCGACTTGTACTAAATCCATTTTATGAATTAAACAAAAAATTTTGGCATCTTCAGAATTTGCAAGTATTGCTTCAAGACAATCTTGATAATAATGCATATCTCGTTCGATCTCCCGAGATTCAACATCAAATACATATATTAGTACTTCTACATTACGGAAAATATGGTCACGTTGTGTTGCAAAATAATTTTCCATAAATGTTTCTTGACTAAAAAAAAAAAAATAAACAAAATAAAATAAAATATTTTAAATAAAAATGAAATTGATAAATAAAAATATAAATAACAAATGGTATGGTATTAAATAACTAACCCGCCACAATCCCATAAGTTCAGGACTAAGTTACCAAGAAATCTTACTCGAGAATTTTCAACATCGACTATTAAAATAAAAAATAAGTTATAATAAATATTATTATTAAATCATTTCGAAAATTTCGAGAAAATAATAAAATAAATAGCCATACGCAACTAGTTGCACCAAGTCGCCGTGTATCTCTCGCGACATAATTATGAAAAATTATACTTCTCATAGAAGTTTTGCCTGACCCGCTCTTTCCCATTAAAAGCACCTATTATAGTAATAATAAGAAATAAGAATAAGAATAATAATGATAATAAATTATTTAAATTATTAAGATTATTTTTTTCAATTTCTAAATTCTTATAACTTCTAAATATTCAATATGTACACAGTGTAATACCTATACATACTCACTTTTCTATTCATATTGATAAAAAAAAAATAACAAAAGAAGAAAGAAAATAAGAAGAGAATAACTTAAAGAGTTGGCGTTTTATGATGATAGATTTATATACTGATTGCAATCTGTTACACAAATATTGATAATTGCACGCCACCAACGTGAATCTATTTTACGCCAGGGTCTCTAGTTTCCAGAAGACCTTGAAAGACAGAAGCAATATCTCCTCTCACAGTTTCCAGGCCACTACCTCATTTCAGACGTATCAATTTCAAGAGACCCGGATTGCGTTCCCTATCGGAAAAAGTCGCAGGCTAAGCAAAGAGATTGTTGTTGCCCACAGTGACAGAATGAAATATTAGGGAAATTAATGGAATGAATCACAAAGACTATTTCCCATATCATATTATTACCCACTCACAAGGATACTATCGTCAAGGAAATAAAGTTAGTTCTAGTCTTTACTTGATGATAAGATTAGCAATACTCTTGTAGAAGATTGTGGAGGGCATGGAAGGGTTCTAGAAATACTGGATAATTGCTTTAATATCTAGCACGTTTGAATGGTAATTTTCAATTTAAAAATCATAATATACAACTTAAAGATTGCTTAAAAATATTCCAAAAGTACTATATGATAATTCATTAGATCAACCAGATTTGAAATTTACCAATACAAATTAGTACAAAAATCAATTAGTCAAGATGAATATGAATAAGATTATAAAAATTCTACATCAGAAAATTTTTTTTTTTTTTTATTCTCTTACAACTGCAAAAAAAGGGTGAAATTAAAACTTCCAAAATATTCTGGAATTGTAGACGGAAATTATTTCAAAAATTATTTTAAATCATTTGCTGATATCTATTCTCAAGAATATTCATCAAGCAACTCTATAGAATGAATCAAATTAGCAAAAAAGAAACGAAAGAAATTATATTATGAAAACCATTTAAAAGTATTGTAGACATGAATATATTAAATAGTTTTTATTTTTAAAAGGGGTTTCACACGATTTCTCACATTCTGCCTCGATTTATATAATTCCAAATTTCAAAATAGATATGCTAAGTCAAATTGACTTTTTTTGTTGTATATTTTGAAGCCATATTGAGATTTTAATAATATCAATTATCAAAGTAAGGTCACAAATTTTGATGGGAAAATTTTTTATTATAATATAATAGCATTATTTTAATATATTTGTTAACAAAGTTATTACATTAAGAAAAAAGCAGAGAAAGAACAGAAGCAGATAAGAAAAAGAAACAAAAAAGAAATGGAAAAAAAGGCCTCATGATAATAAACCACATTTAGATTCGATGCAACATGAACCTTAATCAAATGTACAAATATTGGTAAACATCAAACAATCCAAGAAGAATTAGTTATAATAAATCCACTTGTAAATATTGTTCCTACCGAAGATCAAATTTCATTAGCTTTGCCAACTTTCAGAAAACTAGACAAGAAAGAAATTGTGTGACACCATTCGAGTTTTAATATAATTAAAATAGATGTAATAATAAAATAAAAATTAATAAATATTAAACAATTGTATTTTTTTTGCTTTATTAAATTTTAAATTATAATTATCTGTTTGGATATTACTTTAATAAATCTTTTCTACTTATAAAATTTTATCTATTTCGATTTATTAAAATTTGTTTTTTTTTTATTTCTTATTTTTACTATTTTTAAAAAGAATATTCCGAAGAACACGAAAAAAAAAATTACACAATTTTTGACTGATTATGTTAAAATACATCATATCGCGTGTGATCTTCGGGAACACCAAGACACATTCGTGATATCACAATATTACCATATATATGATATATGTCATTATGTAATTGTCGTTTATATAACAAGCGTGTTGTAAACAAAAATTCATTTTTTTTTCCTTGTTGGATGGTGTTGGTCATGTGTTGAAAAGAGTTAATACTTTTCTCAACGGGATCTTTTTTTTTTCTTTTTCTTCTGGCTCTTACAAAGACTGACAAAAGGATTTATTAACCGATTGCTTTTTTTTAATATCTCTATTCTAATATTGCTCATTGTATGTAAAAGAAAACTCTTGAAATATTAATAAGAATATTATTTATCATTTTTTATTATTATTTATTATTATTCTTGTGTGTGTAATTCAACTAAAATAATAATTTATTTTCTTGATATTTTCTTTCAATAGATCTTATACGAGCCGAGCCAGAAAAAAAAAAAATCCGAGTTATATTAGTCGTCATTATTCATATTAGTCGTATGCAATTATTAACTTTATATTTTTTTGAGTTATATATAACTTAATATTGTTATGAGTTCCGTTTCTGGAGAAGATGAAGAGACCAGTTGGCAAGAAAATAATGAATTTTATAATTGGGTACGACAAAATATTATAGCTTTCCTTTTATTTCTTACCAAATATGCCATATCCTATTCCCTATTACAACGATTTCGTAGAAAGTATAGGGATACTTCTGATTCGATAACCTCGATAACCGAAGATGAAGATGAAGATTTATTTGGTATTGATAATTTGATAATTATTGTGCTATGTGCTGCAGGATTGGCAATGGCATTAGCTGGTTTCTCTTTATTACCTTTTACAATGATCGCCACGGAATTATTACATGATGATTTACATAATCGAAATTATTATTTGAGTTGGTTAAATATCAAATTATTAGAAACTTTATGGAATTATACTTATATAGGATGTAATATAGCTTTATTTGGATTACTTCCTTTCGCTTACTTTTATAATGAGACTGATCAACAAAGAACATTTTTTGCAAAAGCGAGAGATACTTTAACCATCATGTCATTGGTGGGATTATTAATGTATGCTTTCATCTATGTTTCAAAGAAGATCTTGGGAATTGGGAACATTGATGAATTGGTGATTTTAAATTTATTAACATGCCTAGGGGGAGCTGGAATATGTTTGAAAGCGACACCAAAGGGTTATATTCAAATATTTTCTTGGATTGGTCGACTTCCTTTACGTCCTAATTATCGGAAATCCTTAAAGAATCATTTAATTCAAAATGAGATGGAGATAAAAGTTTTACAACGTAGATTAGAAAATCTTGAACATGGTTGGAAATCAAATATGGATAAAATGTCTCGTTCCACATCTATCATTCCTTTATCATCACACTGTTCATCATCATCTGATAAGTTGTATGCATCTATGAATGGATTTACCACCACCACCAACAACAACAACAACAACAATAACAACAATAATAATAATTCTTCTTCTGCATCATCTAGAATTATTGGACAAAATATTGGAGCAAATAGAAGAGAAATTTTAACAAAACTTAAAAAACTTGAAATCGAAAGACGTCAAACACAACTTGACTTGGATCAATCACCATTATATCGTAATATAACTTTCGTTATTCTTCTTTTACTTAGTCATTGTATTTTATTTCTCTTGTTGGTTCACATCTTGTGGGCAATGATCAAAAGTTTATTAGTGGCTGAAGGACAAAAGGATCTTCATAAATTGGAAGCAGTTTTTGGTAAACAAACTGTATCAATGTTTGGAAAATTTGGAGTATTAAGTGATTTGGGATTAATATTTTATTTTACTGCCGCAACAATTATTGGAGTTTATTCAATTAAACCATTTAAACGAATTCGTCCTCGTTGGGGTCAAATGAATGTTCAACATATACTTTCAAATGTTGCAGTATTATTGGTTATAAGTAGTTCATGGCCAACCTTAGCAACTATTTTAGGTTTAACCCGATTAACATCTGCTGGTCCATATGATCATTTTCATAAATTGAATGCTGGATATTGGTTTGCTTTTGCTTTTCGTGTGGGAACCCTTATAACTTCAGTATTTTCTATCTTGAATTATTATGTTTTAAGAAATTTACAACGAGTGGGGATAACGATGGTTGGAAATAATAATAACGAAAACAACAACAACAACAACAATAACTACAATAATAACAACAACAATAATCATCATAATCATCATAATCATCATAATAATTATAATTATAATAATTATAATAATAATAATAATTATAATAATAATAATAATAATAATAATAGTCCTCGATCCAATGGTCCTCGATCTAATGGAATTCTTTATCATCCTCCTCGATCTAATGGAATTTTATATAATGTTAGTGATGTAAATATGATGAACGGATATGCCACATACAATAATGTTCCACATCGGTAGTATAACCATTTCATTGATTTAATTAAGGGAGGAAGTGCCAGGTTTTTTTTTTTTTTTTATTATTATTGATAGACTTTCATTAAATTCTTTTTTTTTTTTTTTAATTTTCAAAAAATATTAAATACATTTTGGAGGGTTTCCTTTTCTGTAATATATAATATATATAAATACACACAATATATAGTTAACCTCATAGATTATATAAATATAAATATATATATTTTTTTATATATATTTTATTTAGGAATTTATTCTTTTTTATGTAATAGCTATTTCGTAAATTTGCATTTTTTTAAAAAAAAAAAATATCTATAAAAGAACAACTTTTGTATTAACATATCGTATATTGTATGAAGATTTTCCATGTTATTATATCATAACAATAATCAAAATAATCAACTTTTTTTTGATTAAATAATTTTTTTTTATAATTTTTCATACATTTGTGTTGTAAATTAATTTTTGTAACTGTAATACTGATATAGATATATACATAGTTTCCCGGATGATTTTCATTGCTAACAAAGACCTCCAGAGGATTTTTTACGTTTTTCGACTTCGCTCACGATTTACAAAACGTAGAGTGATTTTCTACTAAAGTATTTCTAATATATAAAGAACCGTCTCTTTCTTGGCTACAAAATGATATGTATTTCATTCCGATAGCATCGATATTCGCCGAGTTATTCTAGTTTAAAGAAAAACGTTCGTGAAAATCGTGCAAAAATTCCTAGAAAATTTGATTTTTCACGGACGTTTTTTTTTTAAACTAGAATAACTCCAAGAATAACGATACTATCGGAATGAAATACATATCATTTTGTAGCCAAGAAAGATTCCTTTCTTTCTATCTTAGAAATACCTTAGTAAATCGCAAGCGAAGTCGAAAAAACGTAAAAAATCTTTCGCCTATTAAAATTTACTGATGTATCTTATGTAATTAAAAGTTTATGAATCCCGATTAATCATAAAATCTAGATGTTGATTGACCGCAGTATTGTACATTTTGCATGTTCCGCGTTGTCCCTACTCTTAAATAGCTTATAAAGATATATTAAAACTTTATAGTTATATACACTAAACTTTAATTAATGACTCAAAGCAGGTTTTTATAATAAACTTTGCGATATTCACGTTTTAAAAAAAATAATAATATGTGTTGGAATCAAATATGATGTAATACCAATTCATTTAAGTTTTTTTTTCTTATCATTCAATTTAGATGTACATTATATTATGATAATGAATATGTAATTGAATATATTTCTTTATCATTAGCATTCAAACCAAGAGTATGTAAAAAAAATCAATAGATGTTCATTGATACTAAAAAATTTGGAAAAACAATAAACTTTCAGAATTTCATTTGATATAACCATAAAGATTCTTCTGATTCTGTAAAATACTTATTTACATCCTAACCATTAGGTCGGATAGGAAAGTGATTACAAATTTTAGAAAGGAGTAGCTCATCCTTGATGTTAATAAATTTATTATTGATAGCGGTTAATTTTATCATTTTCGCAATTTGAGTTAGTGAGTTTACAGTAAGTCTCATATAGTGAAATGTGAAAGTAGTGAAACCTCCGAATCAACTGTTGAACAAGGTTACAAAGTTTAGAAAGTGCCTGTATAAAATTTTTTTGACGTTTAACTTATGGTCCCTTTTCTGATAAAAATATCCCCATATCCCCACACGAGATAGATGAGAATCCATAAATAGTTGTTTATCTAAAATATCTACGAGGCAGAGTAAATGTAGATTGGAACAAGATGTGAACAAGATGTGAACAAAGATTTGAACACACTTGTCATCACTACATCTGCATAATAATATAACAACAAACATTGATATAAACAGTATAATATATAGATTGTATAATATTGTATAATAAAATATGGCATAATATTGAAAATTTTAAATATGGTAAAGTGTATGAATATAGTAAAACGGTGTATACTTTATTGTTGTATATATATAATAAAATATAAATACAATTAATTTTTGATCATTTATCGAACTACTACAAAGTTGCAAAAAAAAAAAAAAAAAAAAATCCTCCCACAATTACAATTATAATAATAAAAAGATGTTGACAGATAACGAAACTCCTCTTACCGCTCTTCCCATTACCACCACCACCATTTCTTCCAATACTTCTATTAATACTACTTCAATTGATACCAAACCTACACCTCTCTTTTTTAAACTTTCAAAAAAAGAAATTGAAACTTATATTAAAAATGTTAAAACCATTGATTATACGATAGTGGAAAGTAACTTTTTAGAATGTTCCGAATACGTTATGAAAAATATTCTTGATTGGGAAAAGGAAGATTTGGAATTTACGCAATGTAAAGACGGAATCACTAATATGTGTAAGTTTTTACTATTATTATTATTATAAATTTATTATTATTATTATTATTATCATTATCACATATTATTATTATTTGTATTATCAAATCATTTTTCTTAATAATTAGTGATAAAATGTTCTAATAAAAAATCACAAAAGTCGCCAGTATTAATTCGAACTTATGGTAATAAAACTGAAATGATCATAGACAGAAATCAAGAAATTATGGTAATTTTATTTATTTTTATAAAAATCATAATTAATTAATTAATAATTAATAATAATAATAATTGATGTCATAACATATTTTAACGTCATTTACGTCATTTAACGAATTACCCAATTTATGTAAAAAAAAAGAACATGGTGGCATTATCTAAACTTGGATTAGCGGCTCCATTATGGGGTCGATTCAATAACGGACTTGTAGCTGGATACATACCGGGTCACGTGTTCACAGTGGAAGATTTGAGGGATCCACATAAATCATCCCTGGTAGCTAAAAATATGGGGATTTGGCATGGTGTAAAAATAGTTGATGATGATGATGATGATGGTGATAATAATAAATCTACATTATTTGTTACTTTAAGAAATTGGATGAATGAAGGTAATAATGATATTTTATTATATTTTTTTTATGGATATATTTTATTGATTTATATATATAATTATTTATTTATTGATATTTTATTATTATTTAATATTATTTGTAGTGAAGAGAATATATAAGGATAAAGAAATCAAGGGTATTAATATAGATGTACTCGATGAAGAAGTTAGTAAAATATTTAATTTATATCATCATTATCTTATCTTATCTTATTAATATAATTATTAATATAACATCATCTTATTTATATTAATAGTTAATAAGTCTAGAGAAGGAATTATTAAAATTAAATTCACCAATTGTATTTAGTCATAACGATCTTCTAAATGCCAATATTATATATGATAATGGATTAGATAAAGTTACCTTTATTGATTATGAATATTCAAATTATGGGTATGCCTATTTTGATATAGCCAACCATTTTAATGAATTTGGAGGTAAATTATTAATAATTTATTTATTATTTATTATATTTATTATTTATTATTATATTTATTATGTATAATTATATTTACTATATTATTATTATTATTATTATTATTATTATTATTATTATAACATGATAGGGTTGGAATGTGATTATAGTTTATATCCAAATAAAGAATTTCAATTTCAATGGTTGAGTCATTATTTGAATGCGCGTCATCCCGGTAATTGGATAATTTAATAATTAATAATTTATTAATGTTTAATATCAATAAATAATTTAATAATATTAAATAATTAATATTAATAATTCATAATATTAGGTACATCGGCTTCTGAGAAAGAAATAAATGAATTATATCGTAATGTCAACAAATTTTCATTAGCTTCTCATCTATACTGGCTTTGTTGGGCTCTCGTAAGTTCTAATTCATTTATTTGTTTATTTATTTATTTCTTCTAAATTTCATTTGCTTATTTAATTTATTTGATTCATTTATTTTGTTTATTATTATTTAATTATATTTTCAGATCCAACATCACTTATCAACGTTAGAATTTGATTATATGAATTATGCTTTATTAAGATTTAATGAATATTATAAAAAGAAAAATGAATTCTTGAAATTATAATAACACATCATTTAATTAATAGATAATACTGTAATTATTTATATATTTATAGATTTTTAATATCTAAATTATCTAAATTCTAAATTCTAAATTTATACACATATTTTGGGGGGAGCATTTGCATAATTTAGAAAGGGGGATTTCATTATTTTTTTATTTATATTTATATATATATTAATCAACTTTATTATATATAACAACAGCAACAACGATAATAAATTATAAATAATAATAAATAAATAAATAAATATATTATTATTATTATTATTTTCAACCAGTGTTTGAAATTCAATGTGCGGAATGCGCGCCAGCATAAGTTATCAAATTTTGCATATGATTTAAAATTTAATATGTGCGCACATGTTTTGTGCACATATGAATCAAAAAAAATCACATTAGATTTTATATCGTGCGCAGGAAAAGTGACACGGGTATGAAAATTTTTTAAAAATGTGCGCGCGGAATGCTAAGTGATGAATAAAAAAAAAGCATTTCAAAATTGCACACTAGCGCACACCCCGCACATTAGCACACACTAAATTTAAATCACGTGCGGAACGCACATATGATTTAAAAAAGTGAATTTCAAACACTGAATGAGACTATACATTGATTGCAATGACATTTATTTATTTAATTCACTAATAATAACAAATAATAATAAATAATAACAAAATAATTATGATAACAATAATATCATTATCCATATTAATATCAATGTCAAATAGTAAATAATGATATTATTGTTATCATCATCCATCTATTTCATCATAAATTATATTTATTATCTTTATTATCTGTATCTTCTTTATTATTATTATTATTATTATCATAATCATCATTTTTTACCTTGTCCAATAACATTACGTTCACTAACATAAATACCATCCAAAAATTTACGAATATCCTTGTTTTTAACGGTGGTTGATTGTTGAATTTTAGCAGCTATAATAAATAAATAATTATGATTGAATAATAATAAATAATTATATAATTTTTGATTATTTAGAATTAAATCAAAAAAAATTGAAATTGATTAATTGATTATTAGAAATAATAATAATAATAATAATAATAATAAATATTTTACCAGATTGTGAAACATTTTCTATATCATTTCCCGTTAAAACCAATTCATCTTTAACATTTTCGGAAACTTTAATTTCAACCCCTTCCAACATTTTAACTCTTCTTATGACCTTTTCTCCCAAAAAGTTACGAATTTCTACTTCCTTTCCTTCCGTAATATGAACATTAATGGGAAAATGCGCATAAACGTATCTCATCTTGTATTCGAATCCCTATAATTTGAATTTGTTATTTATTATAAGATTGGATTTATTTATTTGATTATAATAATTAAGTATAATAAATAATTGAATAATTGAATAATTGAATAATCGAATAATAATAATAATAATAATAATAATAATAATAATAATAATAATAATAATAATAATAATTACCTTGGTAACTCCAATAATCATATTATTAATATGAGCTTTAACAGTACGTAAGCAAGCGACATGTTTACGTGCACCATGCCAAACAATAAGTTTAATTCGATTTCCCTTTTTTTCTATTTCCAAATTAATATGATCAATCTTTTTGACCAAAGTACCCCTTTCCCCTTTAACACTTATTTTACGAGCTTTAACTGTTACTGTTACTCCTTCGGGTATGATAAGTTCTTCATCTTTACAAATATCCTTCATTCTTTTTTTTTTTTGTTTGTTTATTTATTAAACCTTTTCAAGAATAAATTGTATGAATTATAAATGTTAGATAAGATTTATTAATTAATTATAAATATTTAAAATAAATTTTTTTTATTAATTATAATTTTTAAATAAAATTTCATTTATTTATATAACGATAATAAATAATAATTTTAATAATATCATTATTATTTTATATATGTACCAAATGCAACGGAATGTCAATTGGATGGATGAAGGAAAAGAGGAGGAAAAATTTTTTTTTAATCAATTATCATATTTATACTCTAATGTATAATTTTATATAGTGACCAATGATGATTAACCTTAATGAATCTAATCACTTGAAAATCATTTACTCATCTCCTCACCGTTCAACTAATAATAATAATAATAATAATAATAAAAATAAAAGAATGAATCATCTTTTTAAAAATAAAAGAAATTTTAATAATATAATTAAACAATTACACTTGAAACAACAACCATCACCATCATCAGTATTATTGTTTACGCAACAAAAGAGACAAGTAACTCACCACGCACCAGAATGGAATGAACCTTCCGGTAATTTATTTGGTGAAAAGGTAATAAAATGTATAATTGTCAATAACGAATGAAATAATATATAATTATAATCACAATGATAATAATAATAATTAAATTGAGTAGCCTCCTCCACCTGGTAAAAAACGAGTAAAAGAAGAATGGGAAAATGTTTGGGTTTATGGTATGGGAGGATGTTTCTTGTTAGCTACTGTTATTGCTATATATAAACCTGATACAAGGTAATTATTTATTATCATAATCATCACTATTTATTTATTTATTTTTATGATTCATCAATTTTTTTTTTTTTTTTAAAAAAAAAAAATATTTATAATTATTATTCAAAGTGTTCAAACTTGGGCTACGAAAGAAGCCGAAAAGAGATTAAAAGATCGTGGTATCTCTTTGGATTATCCCAAAACCGAAAGGAAATGGTAATAATAAAAATAGTTAGTTTAATCCATATATAATACTGATTTATTTTGAAAAAAAGAAATAAAAAAAGAAAAAAAGAAAGAACGAAAGAAATGAAATTTAATAATTTAATAATTAAAACATAATAATATTTAATCCAAAAAATATATAATAATATTTTATTTGATCATCATTCTCATTATGATCATTATGATCATTATGATTATTACAAGTAAATAAATAAATAAAATAAAATAAAAAAAAAACAAAACGGAATAATGTAAATTTCACTGATTAAGAAATTTTGGCATTGGATAAATCAAGTTCGGGATGTTGAGCCGCAAAATTTTTTAACAATTGTTCTTTTTGAAGTTCTTCGGATGTCTTTTTACCCATTTGCTTTTGACGTTGATCAAACTAAATAATTTGAATGATTAAATAAATGATATTATTGAATAATAATTGAATTCAATGATTGAATAATTGAATAATTGAATACTGATTAAATTACCATCATTTTTTCAACCATGGATCTAGTTTCACCATCCAAATCGCTTAATTTAGAATTTTCAGGTTGAATTTTTGTGGTATCAATAGGTGGATGAGTAGTAATTACATTTTTCCACCATTCTTGTTTATTCGTTTTTTCTAATTGAATGTAAATTTCTTTTTGATCCTCTGTTGTTGTCATAAAAAATTGTAAATGTAATAATTGTATTAAATGAAATGATTAATTAAAATATGATAATTGTAAATAATAAAAATATGATAATTTGTAAAAATAGTAATAATAATAATAATAATAATAATAATAATTTAATTTACCTATAGTCCAAGTAGATTCTTCTTGTTTAACTTCTTTACATAATTCACCCTATAAAATGATTGTGATGATGATAACCATAATCATTAATTCCATTAATTCATTACACTTACAATAACACAACTACTATAATTATATACCTCAATGATAGGTGGTTGACCTTTTAATCCTACTAATAAATTTTTCTTTTTGATAGTAACTATCACATCTCGACCACGAGTTCCCTTGGGAACAGGAATTGTTATATCAACTTCTTGTAATGTTTGTTTCCATTTATATGGTAATGCTATTAAATTTTTTATAAATCATAAAATTTCATAATAATAAAAAGAAGAAAAATTTTGATAATAATAAAATTTCATAATAAGAAAATAAAAAGTTAATAATGAATTAAAAATGTTTAAAGAAACGCGTTTTTAAAATATTTTTTAAATGAACGAGTTTTGTGTAAAAAGTGAAAGTTTTTTACCCGCTTGTTCAGCTTCCTCTTTTTCCCTAAGAAGTCTGTCGTGTTCTTTTTGTTCTTCTGGTGTCATAGAATCATAATCCGTTTTATTTATTTGAGTTCCGTTTTCCGTCATTTTTATTATCTTGATAATAAGTTAAATTAATACGTAATGATCTTTTTTCTTAATCAAACATTATTATTAATTTATCAAAGTTCTCGAATATTCTTTTTCATATAAGTTTTGATCCCTTAATATTTTTTTCCTTAATCGTTATCAAATTCTTCGCAATTAAAAAGAAAATAGTGACGGTTATATTTGTAATATTTGTAAAGAATTGTAGATAATTCGTGGATAATTAGTAATACATATTATTGTATTTAACAGAAATAGTATACTTTCCTCCCTTTCTTTTTTTATTATTTTTTATTATTTTTTTATTATTTTTAGTTTTAATATATGGAAAATATGGAAATCAGCTATAAAGAATTCGTACTTTTATTCTCTTGGGCGATATATTTATTTGAACAATATTTAAGGTAAAAATGATAATAAATCATAATCATTTATTATATTCTTATTTTCTTATTTCATTACTTGCTCAATGATCACCAAATAATTAATAATAAAATTTATGATCATAAAAGTTAATAATGACAATAATAATAATAATAATAATAATAATTTAATTTAATTAGTTTTCGTCAATATAAGAAACTTAAGGAACCAAATCCACCTAAATCTTTACAAGATATTGAAGAAGTTCGAGAAAAATTTAAAAAATCTCAAGCTTATGGCCTTGATAAAGCCAAATTTCAATTCGTATCTGCATTGTTTGGACAAATTCAAAGTACTTGGGTAATTGTATGGAACATATTACCTTGGTTATGGACATCCTCAGGAGAATGGTTAAGTTATGCCGGATACAAGACTGAATATGAGGTTTTTCAATTGTTCTTTTATTTTTTTATTTTTTTCTATTTTTTTTTTTTCTTTTCTTTGCTTTTTATTATATAATAATAATAATAATAATAATAATAACAAATATTAATAAATCTTTAATCATTATTTTACAGATCACACAATCATTATTATTTACAGTCATAATGACAGTCATGACCTACCTTATATCACTTCCCTTAAGTCTCTATTATACATTTGTTATTGAAGAAAAACATGGATTCAATAAGATGACTTTAGGATTATTTTTTATGGATATGATTAAAGGATTTTTAATAGCTGGTGTTATAGGATTACCAATTTTAGCTTTAGTTTTACAAATCATTAAGTGGAGTGGGGATACTTTTTATTTCTATGTTTGGATATTTATGTATGTAAATTTCTTTTTTTTTTTACTATTTATTATTATTATTATTATTACTAATTATTATTAGTATTATTATTATTACTAATTATTATGATTATTACTAATTATTATTATTATTATTTATTATTATTATTATTATATACATTTATATATATATATACTCACCTAATATTAATCTTATATAATTTTTATAGGATAATTTTCAATTTTATCTTACTCACAATTTATCCAACATTAATTCAACCTTTATTCAATAAGGTTGAACCACTTCCGGATGGTGAATTACGAGAACAAATAGAAGGATTAGCTTCACGAATCAACTTTCCTTTGAAAAAACTTTATGTAATTGATGGTAGTAAAAGATCGGGACATTCCAATGCCTACTTTTATGGATTCTTTAAAAATAAACGAATCGTTCTATATGATACTTTAATTGAACAAGCTAGTACTGGTGAAATATTAGCCGTTGTTGGTAAATTATTATTTATTATTTATGATTTATCATTTGTTATTATTTATTAATATTATTTTTTTATCAATATTTATTATTATTATTATTATGTATTATTACGTATTATTATATATATTAATATATCATTATATAATATTATTTATTATTGATTTATAGGTCATGAATTAGGACATTGGAGTCTTAATCATACAATTAAAGTTCTTATAATTTCTCAACTTCACAATCTTTTACTTTTCTTCTTATTTTCTCAATTCATTCATGATTCTTCTCTTTATAAATCATTTGGATTTGATACTCAACCAATTTTAATTGGATTCATGTTATTCCAATTTATTTATGCACCGGTAGAAAATGTTGTGGCTTTTTTGATGAATATACTTAGTAGAAAACATGAATTTGAAGCTGGTAATTAATTAATTAATTATTCTCTCATTTCTCTCTTTCTATTATTTAATTATAATGATCTTATTTTATTATTATTATTATTATAGATACATTTGCCAAAAAATTAGGATTTGGATCACAACTTCGTTCAGGACTTATCAAAATTCAATTGAAAAATTTAGGAAATTTAAATAATGATCCATGGTATTCGGCTTATCATTTTTCACATCCTCCACTTCCCGAAAGATTAGCTGCTATAGAAAAAACGGATTGAATATATTAAAAATATTTAAAATATGTGGTTGGTGGGATGTTGGAATGATTATATTAAATTGTGGATAAAAAAAAAAAACTTTTATATATATATTTTGATTTACATTTATATATATTTTTTATTAATTAAGGAATAATAATTTTGAATATTTTAAATTTTTTCTTCTTTTAAACAAAAAAAAACAATAATAATTTTTTTATTTTTTTTTTTTTGAGATTAAAATATACAATGGTATGTTATATATATAAAAAAAATAAATATAAATAAACAATATAAAAAATTTTGTTTACTTTTTTCTTCTTTATAATACACCTTTTGTACTTGGAATATCATTTGCACCAGTTTTTTCAATTGCTTGTCTTAAAGCTACTGCAAGAGCTTTAAATGCTGACTCGGCTCTAGAAAAAAAAAATAAAATAAAATAAAAATAAAATAAATTCAAAATAAAAAAATCACAGTAAATAAATCCACATACCTATGATGATCATTAATTCCTTTTATTACATCTACATGTAATGTAATTCCTGCCGAAGTAGCGAATGATGATAATACATGAGGTAACATTTCTGTAGATAGATCTCCAATTTTTTCACGTTTTAAATTTAAATTTATATCGGAGAATGGTCTTCCGGAAATATCAACTACGGCGCGTGACAATGCCTAATAATAATTTGAATAATTTGAATAAATCGGGAATAATTTTTGAATTAAATTTTGAATAATTTGAATAACATTTGAATGATTTGAAAATCCCTAAATCATCACAACTCTCTTTCTCACAACATTCTCATTATTAACATCAACTATAATATATCTAGTCACATTATTCTTACACAAACTATATATACAATTCGCTCACCTCATCCAATGGTGCATAAGCATATCCAAATCTCTTAATCCCTCGAGGTTCACCTAATGCTTTCTTAAAAGCCATTCCTAAAGTAATTGCCGTATCCTCCGCTGAATGATGATCATCGATATGTAAATCACCTTTACAATCTAATGTAAGTGACCATCCTGAATGTTTGGCGAGAGCATGATACATCTATTATTATTATTATTATTATTATTATTGTTATTATTATTGTTATTATTATTGTTACATTCTTAATAATCTCATTCAATGATTTAATCTTATTCGATGATTAATTATATTGAATGATTAATTATATCATTTTATTATTAATTTTTTTTTTTTTTTAAAAAAAAACGAAAAATGATAAATAGAAATCATAAATAAATGAATATCCAACTATATATAAGTTTCTTTCTCCTCTCTCTTTTCTATAACTCGATCTATTTATTTATTTAAATATTATATTACATGGTCCAAGAATCCGATTCCAGTATTAACAGAAATCGTCTGGTTTCCCGTAGAATCCAAATTTAATAAAATTTTTATATCCGTTTCATTGGTTTTTCGATGAAATGTAGCTTCTCGTAAATTTGTACTAAAATTCAAAGATGCGGACATTGCTGAATATGAATAAACTGTTAATGAAATTAGTTTTATCTGCAAAGGCGATCCGCATCAAAATAAATTTGTTCTTTGAGGACGATCTACCATTTTTCTATTATTATTATTATTATTATTATCATTATTATTAATACTATTAATAGGTAAAAACGTAATTTTTTTCTTAAATAAATAAATCATTATTTCATTATTATTATTGTTTATCAAATAAAGGAGATGATGTTTTTACACTTCCAAGAATAGTGAATATATATATTATAATTATGACTTTGTGAAATTGTCTCCGTTTCAAAAGTAATATTATTAAAAATGCATGCCTGAGCCTGAACTTTAAATTCAATGCAGTTGATGCATGATGGCATGGGTGACATAAGATCTGATTAATTTGTAATGAATTTCACGCCATCTTTAGCCAAGCACAGGGACAAGAGAAACAAGAAAACTGCAAGAAAGAGACAGAAATATGTCAAGTCTATGTGATCCAGCGGCAATTAACGAGGAATCAGCCTTTTCTTTTTTTTAAAAGAAAAATAACTAAATAATATGTTTTAAACCATTTGGAGAGTAATGAAACAAGTTAACCCTTCTATTGCTATTTTTATTATCTTGTAGATTTTTTTTTTTTTTTTTTTTCGCGATTCATGTAAGAACTAGAGGAAAATCCAAAAACCCGGTTCTTTTTTTCACCATACCATAAAAGATTCATTAAAAAAAAACAAATAATTCACTTTATATTTATATCACGCCTGGTAATCCATCAATTACCTATGCCTTAAACAGTAAACAAAGAATGGATTTTATCAGATAAAAAGAGATGAACCTTCTATTCCTCAAAATAGTAACAAATATTTATAAATAAATAATAAAATAGTTTATTCAAAAAATATAGAATATTAAAGATATTGTTAAATATTATAAACATTATGCAAAAAAAAAAAAAAACAATGATAATACAATCTTATAATGGATATATGTAAAAGTTATAATGGATGTATGTAAAAGTATATGTTTTAAATAATATTTTATGTTGTATACATTTTTTTAAAAATTATAATCATTGGGCTGAAGAAAAAAAAATGGGCAAAAATTTTTTAATGATTGTTAATGGATTATTCTAAGATTTTTGAAATCAAAGAAGAATTAGGAGATATAAAGACTAAATTAGAAATATATCAGTTTTAATTAGTTTAAAATTGGTAATAAATGTGAACATGATATTATATTTTGATTTTCTTGATATGGAACATTATGAACATTGGGAGATGACATAATCATGATAATCATAGGTATGCGCGTGAGGCATTACACATTAAGTAAAGAATATAAATTACATACTTTTTTATCATATATAAAAGACAAAATAAAATTTCTAAATTTAAAAAGGTTAATTTTCTTTTAAATAAAATAAAATAAATAAAATAAAATAAAATGCATGTGATCAAAAAAATAATTTAGATAAAAGATTTATTTGGATGTTTTAATAAATGCAGGGTACAAAAAATAGTGCGGAGAGTACACGGAGTCGGCAGATATTTCTCTCGGATAATTTTTTTTTTTTTTTTAAAAAAAAAAGAGATGAGATATAATATAAATATTAGAGTAAAGATCGGGGCATTACTTATTGATTTTTTTTGATTAAGATCTGATGTTTAACTGGTCTTTTTTTTATTTTTATTTTACTAGTCTTTATCCGTAAACTTCCAATAATAAAAAAATCATAAATAAATAAATAAAAAATACCGATTCGCGGGAAAATTATAAGAATAGAAAATATTTGTAACATAATCACATAAACAATAAATAATAAAGTATAGAATAATAGAAATATTATATATATAAGTATAATAGAAGTTACGTAAGAGTAAAATGCACAAATCATTAAACTTAAACATCACATTTTTTTTTTCGATATGACTATAAAATACTCTCCCTCAGATCGGTGCGAAAATATCCACCTTTTTTTTAATAATAATAAAAAAATTAATAAAATTATAATTTTTAATAAAAAATAGAAATTTTGTTTAGAAGTTGTTTTTTCTTTTTTGTATATTTTTAAAATATTTCTCAAAAACTTTATTCACTTTATTATTTTTTTTTTAATAATAATAATAAATATTATAATAAATATTATTATTATTAATCATGACTTCCCCAGAAAAGTCTTTTCAAACAAGTAAGGAAAATAATTTGCTTCCTAGAATTATTGTCACATCCACTCCATCACATAGTCAGTCAGTTGAATCACTCATTTCAACTTCAAATACTCCAACTCTTTTGAATTCAGGTCAAGTCACCACAAATCCAAATACTACAACCAACATTACAAATAATGATAATGATAATGATAATATTACTCTCGAGAATAATACTTTCTTCGAAGATAATAGTTTGAATGATCAGAATTATCAAAATCATCAAAACCTTCAAAATTATCATCATTATTACCAAAATTCCCCACCAAGAATTTCCCATTCAGATAATTTAAAAGTAATAGGAGAAAATACACCTTTATTAAAAAAAAGATTTATTTCTCCTGAATCAACAATTGATTCATTTCAATCATCATCACCTCGGGAACAATCATTACAATCATTACAATCACTATGGGAAGGAAGAGAAAGAGAGGGACGTCAACAATATCAATATAATAATCATAATAATAATCATAATAATAATCATAATTATAATAATCATAATAATCATAATTATCATAATAATAATAATAATAGTCATCGTCAAGAATATATTGTTAATTTAAGTAATAATAATAGTAATAATAATTTAGATAATAATTATGAAACATTTTCCAATACCAATTCATATGATGAGACTGATTCAGATAATGGGGGAGCCACACTTACTGCAAATTCAACATTATCACGTTGTCATTTAAGAGTAAAAAATGATGTTTGCTTTCCTATGATGGAAGCACAATCCAAAAAAGGATTGGATTATGAAGCACTTGAAGATTATATTACTGATGAAAATGAAAAACTTCAAAAAGAACAAAGGAGACGACAGAGAAGATTAAGTGAACCCCCTCCGGTTTTTGCTGCATCCCAAAAGAGATCACCGAGGTCAAGTAGATTAAATTATAATTATTATGATGAATTTGAAAACAAGGTATTTTTTTTTTTTATCATTTTTAAAAAAAATTAGATAATATACTTTTAAATAAACGTACTAAAATATGCTTTAAATATAATAATAATGATAATAATTATAATAATTATAATAATATAATAATATAATAATATAATAATAAAATTTATATTAATTATAGATTATATATATTTTCAATTAAATTTAGCATCCACCACCTGATTCGGTATATCGATTCACTTTTTATTCAACAGCAACAAATACAGTACATGCTCGATCATTAGCAGAAATTCCACCTTCAGGATCAACTCTTTCAGAAATGTTGAAAGCTGGATGTTGGTGGATTGATATTTTATCTCCAACAACTAATGAAATGTCTGAATTTGGAAGGGTATTTATTTATTTATCTGTTTATTTATATATTTATCTGTTTATTTATTTATCCATTATTTATATCAATTTATTTATCCATTTATTTATCTTTTTATCTTTAAAGATCTTTGGAATTCATCCTCTCACAGTTGAAGATATTGAAACAGAGGAAACTAGAGAAAAATGTGAAGTATTTAAAGAATATTATTTCATCTGTTTTCGATCTTTCGATCAAGATCATTATTCTCCAACATACTTACAACCAGTAAGTATTTATATGGTGGTAATGAAGGAGGGAATAATTTCGGTATGTTTAATTTCTATCTTTTTTTACTTTATATACATTTTATATCTTTTGATCTTTATTATAATATTAATATATTAAAATTTTTTTTTTTGTTGTTAAATAGTTTCATTTTCGACCAACGTCACATCCTTCAAACGTGAGACGTCGTATAAAACAATTAAAAGATTATATTACCGTCACACCTGGTATAAAGATTATTATTAAAATAATTAAATATAAAATAACGATGTAATTATTAAATATAATAACAATAATTTAAATAAACACTAATTTAATTAATTAATTGATTAATAGATTGGATCAATTACGCACTTATTGATGATATCACAGATTCATTCGCTCCACTCATTCGTACAATTGAGTTTGAAGTTGACTCAATTGATGAATTGGTTTTAATCCTAAAGGAATCGGAACAAACTGATATGTTACGTCGAATTGGTCATTGTAGAAAGAAAGTTTTGGGTTTATTAAGATTATTAGGAAGTAAAGCTGACGTAATGAAAGGATTAGTTAAAAGATGTAATGAACTTCGATGGGATGTAGTCATTAGTAATGAAATAATTTTATATTTAGGTGATATTCAAGGTAAGAATATACATTTCACATATATGACATTATTATTATTATTATTATTATAATAATAATAATATTCATAAAATTATTAATTTATTTAAATTTTATTTTAAATTTTATTTTAAATTTTATTTTATTTTTTTTTATATTAAACATTTTTAGATCACATTATCACAATGGTTCAAAATTTAAACCATTATGAAAAAATACTTTCTCGTTCTCATTCAAATTATTTAGCTCAAATATCTATTGAAATGACTCAAGCCAATAATCAAATAAATGATATTTTATCTCGTCTTACTGCTTTAGGAACAATATTAATTCCCATGAATCTCGTTACAGGTATTTATTATTATTATTTTTTTATTTAATTCCGCGGGTTTTACTATTTATAATATCCCTAATATAAATATATATTGTATTATAGGATTGTGGGGTATGAATGTTCAAGTTCCAGGACAGAATGAGGAAGGTTTGAATTGGTTTTTCTCTATATTGGCAGGATTAATGATCTTTGCCGTTGTAGGAGTTGTAACGGCGCATCGAACAGGAATAGTATGAGACTGTTACTGGGTGACTGTTGTAATTGACTGTGACTGTTTACTTTTGCTGTAATTAGAATTCCTCTTCATCATAATTGTTGACAATTTTTGATGTGTATAACATTTTTTTTTTTTGTTTAATTTATTTAATAAAAATTATTTCACATTTCGTGTTCATGTTTATCATGCACGCGCTCACACAAAAAATTAATTCCATAGATATATAAATATTAATTGTGAATAATTTCATATTGATTCGAAAATATTGGATCAGAATTCTACAGTACGATGTTAATTAATACGTGACACGCGTCGTGACAAGAATCACGTGAATGATCAAACTTTCACCGAGTATAGAAATATAAATGTGCTCCGGACAATAACTTATTACAATATAATGATACACATAGTACACAATGGTTTTTAATTAATAAAATAATTCAGTACAAAACTAAATATATAAATATTTCTAACTACAAAAGTTTTCTTTTTTTTTTTTTAAAAAAAAAAAAAGAATCTTGATAAATTTTTTACAATTTAATTATTATCAACTTTGGACATATGTTCAATTAAATCAAGACAACGAGTGGAATAACCATCTAAATAAATAAATAAATAAATAAAAATTTAAAATGTAAATGAGTGAGTGAATGAATGAATGAATGAAAAGTAAATAACAAATAATAAATAATGATATAAATAAACTTACATTCGTTATCATACCAAGCAACAAGTTTAACAAAGGTAGGACTTAATTGGATACCAGCTCTAGCATCAAAAATACTGGAATGAGTATCACCAATGAAATCCGAGGATACAACTTGATCTTCAGTATAAGCAAGAATTCCTTTCAACTCATTTTCTGAAGCATGTTTAATAATTTTCTTGATTTCATCATAAGTTGTACCCTTTTCCAAGCGTGCTGTTAAATCAACAACTGAAACATCAGAAGTAGGAACTCGGAATGCCATACCAGTGAGTTTGGTATTTAAAGCAGGAATAACCTAGTTACCGAACACAGAACGTGGGGAATAAAAGGATAATTATCATAAAGAAGATGTTAATTGAAACTTTAAATTCTTTTTTTTTTTTTTTTTTAAAAAAAAAAAAAAAAAAAACTCTTTACCTTTCCTACAGCTTTTGCTGCTCCTGTTGAACTTGGAATAATGTTTTGAGCTGTAAAGTAAATTTAATAAGTAAAATTTAATAAATAAAATTTAATAAGTAAATTCAATAAGATAATTCGTTTTTAATTATAAAAAAAAACGAAATAATTATTAAAGTTTTCAATTACGTACCTGCTCCTCTTCCTCCTCTCCAATCCTAAAAAATTAAACAAATGAACTACTAAATTTAAAATTCAAAATTCAAAAAAAAAAAAAAAAGGAATTTAATTATTAAAGGAAAAAAAATAATTTTACCTTTCCTGATGGACCATCTACAGTTTTTTGAGTAGCAGTGACTGAATGAATGGTAGTCATCAATCCTTCAGCGATACCAAAATGATCATTAATAACCTTTGCTAAAGGAGCAAGACAATTGGTTGTGCAAGAAGCATTGGATACAATATTATATTCTTTCTTATATTTCTCCAAATTTACTCCAACTACAAACATTGGTGCATCGGCACTTGGGGCACTAATAATGACCTATTTGATTTATCGACTTGATTTATTAGATTGTTTGTCATTATAAAAAGATAATGAATGTGAAAAAAAAATAATAATTATTAAAATACCTTTTTAGCTCCCTGTTACAAGAGAAATAAATGTAGATAAATATTGAGAATATTAAAAAAAAAAAATGTAAAAAATATAGTAATTGAAGAAACGTACGCCTAAAATTTTATTAAAATTATTAATAATAATAATTAGGATTATAATTATGATCTTAATAATAAAAATTATTATTAATAAACCTAAATTTACCTTTCAAATGAGTTCCGGCCTTTTCGACAGTTGTGAAAACTCCTGTAGATTCGACTACATAATCAGCACCAATTTCTCCCCACTTGATATCAGCAGGATTTCTTTCAGAGAAAACACAAATTTCCCGGCCATCCAAAAAGAATTTTCCATCTTTAGCTTCAACATTACCCTTAAAACGTCCATGAGTTGAATCATATTTGAAAAGATAGACCTATTTAAAAAATAATAATAATAATAATAATAATAAATAAAAATAAAAATAAAAATTGAAGGATTATAGGATTATATATATTCATAACTTTTAAATTAACCACTCACCATATAATCAAGGTCCAGGAAAGGGTCATTTAAAGCCACTACTTGAATATGGGGATAATTCAACGAAGCACGAAGGACAAGACGTCCAATACGACCAAACCTAAAATACGAAATTTGTTAGAAAAGATAATGTGTTCATAAATAGTAAGAGAAAGAGACATATTCATTACCCATTAATTCCAACTTTAATTGTCATAGTGTCAAGTAAAAAAGTTAATAATAATAAAAATTAGAAGTAAATTAAAAAATTTAAAAAGTTGAAATGTCATTTATATATATATATATATATATATATTTCCTGTAATCTTATGTAACAATGATGTATCGACTGATGTAATCGACTGATCCGATAAAAATGTCGATTTGAAGCCAACTTACTAAAAAAAAAATTATTAAAAAATGCAGTTACTTAAATTGGTTTTATTTATATAAACAATAAAGTCGGTAAAAAAAAACTAAAAAAAAAACAAATAACGATAATGCATCATACATTTCTTCTAATTAGCGATGTTCATTATCGTTTAGACAACGTTGAAAAACTTAAAAAATGGTTAATACAAAAAGACAGATTGAAAGAGTTGCGTATTTTCATTTTTCATTAATTAATTAATTTAAAGTGATTAAAAGAAATTTATTTATTCATTCCATTAATTTTATTATATTGTATCGTTCGTAGCATCAGTTCAATTATTGTTTCTGGTGATCTTGTAAATGCGGATTTTTTTACTCCTTTGACAACTGAAAAGGTGCTTATTCAAAAAAAATAAAAAAAGTCAAAAATTTATTCTTTGATAAATTGATTAATAAATTATATTTATTTTTTTTTTTTGTTGAATTAATAAAATTAATAAGGATAAAAAAGAATTTCGTGAATTATTATCTACTTTAGAAAAATTTGGCAAACCATTATATTATATACCTGGTAAAATTGATATAAAAAAAAAAATAAAATAAAACTTCAATTATTTAATTATTTTAATTATTTTAGTGATTTATAATAAATTCATTCACAAAAGTTTTTTAAATCAGGAAATCATGATCCGGATACAACTTTTCTTCCATCATCATCAGATGAAGAAACTTTGAATGCGATAAATTTCCACCAAAAAGTTATTCAGATATGTTGGTATATTAATATGTTAATATGGGTTAAAGAGTGGGAATATTTTGACGAGACAATGGCAACAATAACAAAATCAAAAAAATATATATAAATTTTATTAGCATCGGGATTAAGTATTGTAGGATTTGGTGGGTCAACGGATGCAGTTTGGAAAAATCAACCAGAAACTGTCGTTTGGCCAGGTAAGACTTTATTTTAATTATTTTAATTTAAAATACAGAAAGGTCTTTAATAATATCTCATTTTAATTATTATGATTATTATTATTTATATAGCTTTTCCTAAAAATACCGAATCACTCTTCATCGAGAAATTACCAATTCTATTGGATCAAATTAAAGATGATGACATCATTCTAATTACTCATGTTGGTCCTTCTAAGGTTGGAACCACTGATGTGGACAAATTTCCTTTGAAGGAACCTTCAACTGCTATCGAGGCTGGCAGGTAAACCAACATTTATTTTATATTTACAAAATAATTTTTATATTTTTTTTTTTTATTTTTTTTTTTTTGAACATTTGAAAAATATGATTTGTTCAGTTTTTCGTCTTCGTAATCTTTATTTTTTTTTTTTCACATGTTCATATATAAATGTATATATATATATATATTCAATATCAATACATATAATATTTATATTCATATGTTATTCATCATCATTTCAGCCCAGTTTTACGCAAGATTCTCGAATCGAAAACTTCAACTCCCGAAAATCCATTAAATTATAATATTGTAATAAATATTCATGGTCATTCACATTATCCTTTTGGCCTTTCACACATAGGCCAAACCATGGTGATTAACCCTGGTCCCCTTGGTGATGGTAGATTTGCGATCCTTACATTAAGTCAATTAGATAAAGAAATTTTATTACAAAGAGATAAAGAAAGGATTAATTATTATAGAAATTTCAATAAGTCTAATTTTTGGGTTATGGAAGGATTAGAATTTTTTTTTGTATAAATTTTAATTTTAATTTTTTTAATAATAATAATAATAAGATAATAATAATTTTTTTTTTTTTTTGGTTTGATGAATTAATTTGTTGTATTTTTTATTTTATTTCATGATTTGATTTCAATTTAAAAACTGAATTTACTAAATTTATAGAAAGTTATAATAAAAAAAATTATAACTATTTTTTTTTTTTTTTAATATATAAAAAGAATAAAGAAATTAATTAAATCTAAAGTAAATGTAAATCATTTTATATTATAATCCTCTTTTTTCATATGTGTGTGTAGTTAGGAATAATGTTCCAGCGACGTAAAAAAAAAAAAAATCAATTTTCATAACCATTGTCCAAATCTGTTCTTTTTTTAAAAAGTTGTTGTCCGCCATCAAAATGTTTTAACATAAAAAAGAATTATGCTATGCAAGAGAAAATAAAGCTAATACTATATGCAAATAAGAACGTTAAAATGTCCTTAAAGAAACATTTTACGAAAATATATATATATATATATATAGTGCCGCACACATTTTTTAAGAAATGGCCAAGGAATAGAGAAAGAATTATTATTCTTCTCCATCTAACGAGTACCGATTTCCTACAATATGTGTGAGACAGACTAAATACTGCTTCAATTTTCAAACATCAGTAACAACTTCGCCGTGATCAACGTCATCCAGTATGAAATTAATATCCTCCAGATCTTCCAAATCTTCTTCCCAGTTAAATTCTTCCTTGTTCAATTCTGTATCACCCTGTTGATAACTGTTAGCATCACCATTATTCCCATTATTATGATTACTTTCTTCTTTTGTTGTTACCTCTGCTGATTGTGTTTCCACATTTGTCTCGGAATTTTTATCCAAAGATTGTTCTCCTTTATTATCTTGATCTACATAAACTTTTTCAGTGAGCTCATCTGGAACGGAAACAAATGTTCGTTCCGAGACAGTTTGTGAAGTATCCTTTTTACCCATTGAGTGTTGATATGCACAATCAGGTCTCCGACACTCGTAACCATATTTACACTAAAAAATAAAAATAAAAATAAAAAAAAAAAAAATGTTAGGAAGGTCAAATTGAATAAAATTCAAAAAAAATAATAAAAATACAGAAATTTTTTTATTATTAATCTTACCGGAATATTGGTATCAACTTCAATATCCCAAGGGTGAAGGAAGACACAATTAGGTCTTGTACAATGAGCCCCATTGCGACAGGGAGTTGGAACTTTGGTTGTTGGTTCACTATTAACAAAAAAAAATATTATTTTCTATGAATACATAAATTTACAATTAATGTAATTAATGTCCGATTAATTCCAAAAAAAAAAAAAAAATGTATACCTATAATCCACATGTAAATATGGGCATACTGGATTTTTACAATTAGGATAAAATTTACAGGGCGCAATTACTATTTAATAATTGAATATGTATATATATATATATTAATATTTTTTGATAATTTACAATTAAAAAAAAATAATAATAAATAATTAAGAACTTACAGTTTGCGGGAGAAGGATGCGAGTAACGACATTTGGCCGCCGTGCATTCAAGTCCAAACTTGCAAGGTACATCCAACAATGATGGTGAAGCGATTCCAGTTCCAACAGCCGCAGGACTAGCATGCGCATACATGCAATTAGGATTCGCACAACGTTCTCCGTATTTGCATAAAACAGCAGGAGCAGAGGTAGATGATTGTGAATTTGTAGACATTGTAGAATCTTTTTCTTGATTCGAAGATGGTTGTTGTTGTTGTTCCACCGAAGCATTACTAGTAGAAGAAGAAGTCGCAGTAATTGAAGCGTTCGTATTAATTGTTGCCTTATTAGATATGTTCGAATTTGCGGATCCTGCACCTGATGTGAAAGATTTCTGTTCCTTTTCCCGCATTCCCCCTTGGAAATTCGAACCTTGTACGACATTATTATCAACAGATTCTTGCCTGATATGTGTTGCACCATATAAATCTATCCCACCTAAATTATGTTGATAGTTATTCTGAACGAAAGAATTTTGACCAAATATACCCTGACCCATTCCACTAGGTCCGCTAGTACTCGGTCCAATTCCAAAATGACTAAATGAATTTCCAATCGAATCAAATACAAAATTTGATCGATTTCCAAAATTTCCTTGTCCATTTGAACCATTTCCATATGATCCAAATCTAAATAAATTACGATTCTCAAATGAATTGAAATCTTGACTAGCTGGATGTATATATAAGCACGTTCTTGGAGAATTTGGACAATTAGGTACCATTCTATTAAAAATGAAAAGAATAAAAACAAAAAAAAAATAAAAAAAATCGATTTAATAATAGAAATTTAAGAAACAAAATTTAAAAATAAAACTTTTTTGGGATTATAAATAAAAAAATAAATAAATAAATAAATAAATAAAAATAGAAATGTATGTATAAATATATATAAACGCTTACGGGCAAATTTCAGTTGGATGATGAAATTTACATGCATTTCCAAGATCACAATTTGGCCAATGGCGACAACGAGTAACTTTAGGTGTTAATGCAATGTTATCATTTGGTTGTGAATCGAATCCATTATTTGAATTTGGAAAGAAAGCGGGATTAATGTAAGCTGTCATTAATCCTCCTTTTTTCCCTAATCGATCTAATACACTTCTTGATTGTCGAGTCGTATGTGAATTTGATTGTGAAGAACGTCGTTCGTTTACTAAATAATTTTAAAATAAAATAAAATAAAATAAAATAAAAATAATATAAAAATTTCATTTAATATAATTAATATTTTATTCGAGTCTTTTGAAAAATATTTCAATTTACTGAATAAAATAACCTGTATTTCATTCTTACCGAACCTTCCACGTTCTTCATTTGATGAAGGATCATATTGTTCATGATCATTAGAATGACTTCCATGATTCATATAAGAACCTTTATCGTCTGTTTCACGTGACCAAATCATATCTGTATTTGAATCATTTTCAACTCTTCGAGTTTTTGTTTTTTGATCATCTTTGAAAGTGTCTATACTCGGACTATAGGGACGTTTAGTGTAAGGTGCCTTGTCCGACATATTTTCCTCTAAAATTTTTTAAGAAAAGAAAAAAAAATAAGTTGACAAGTGGTTGGAATTTTGTTAAACTGACATAAATGCAAGAAAAAATTAATAGGGAAAATATAATAAATATATATTAATATATATATAGATTAAGTAATAAATTTTGTTTCTCACCTGTTCCCTTTGAGCTTCTACTTGCGTCCTTTACAGCATTAATAAATAGGCGCGAAGCGGCAGCAGAAGAATTACTACCGGCTCGCCTATAAAAAGAAAAAGCGGGGAAAAAAAAAAGTTGAATAAAATTTTGTCTTCTTGTCAAGAGGATTGTATCGTATATGTATAATGTTTTTACAAACCTATGCGAGGGACGACCATTAACACTTCCTACTGATCGAACGCGTTGTGATTCAACCGATTCACTAGAGTACATGTTTGTTTGTTTAATGTGTTAGATCTAAATAAAAAGGTCAAATGATCCCTTGTTAGGGAAAAAATTTCGAAACGTTGCTAGTTTATGATTGATAAATATCATAATCAGGTGATTAATGATGGCGGTGTAATAACCCATGTAACGCAAAAAAAAAGTATTTTTTTTTTTTTGATATGATAGGTAAGGTAATACTAAGCACATCTGTTTTTTTTCAATATTTAATATTCACAATGTATAAATCTTTTTTTTTTTGTAGACACATTAAAGAATACTCTTGTGTGTCTTTATAACTTTACATTTATTAATTATAAAATTATATCAGATATATATTACACACAAAGGTGACAAACCAAAATCAGATCAATTTATTCAATTACTTTTTTACTTGTTAAATGAATAATCATAATATTCAAAATTAAAAGATGTAATATATCAGCATAAAATGAAGATATCAGATATTAAAATGAACAATATGAGATATTTAACATTAAATCAAGCTCGTTCAAGAATAATTTCAAATAATTGTAAAATTGTCACTATATAATCTATACACATAGAGTAAGCGATTTTCAAAATATTGTATTTCCGAGAACAACTTCAGTAATCAATTTCATTAATAATTTTTTTTTTAAAAACCTTCAAAATAATGAATACTTTATTTACATTTCACAAATCTCTACATAAAAAAATAATATCTTATAAAACATTTTTTATTTTTTATTAATAATAAAAAAATCCTACAATCCAATTATATATATATGTAATAAATTACATTGCGTTGTATTGACTCCTCCAAAATGTTCTTTTAATGTAATAGGAGACCACGACGTGATATTCCCACTTTAATTGATCATTATTATTTGGATAATATTTCTAACGAAACTTTGTATCTCTTAATTCGTCATTTGTCATATGAAAAGTATGAAAAGTGTGAAAAAGTATGAAAAGTATGAAAAGTATGAAAGTGTGAAAAGTATGAAAAAGTATAAAAAGAATGAAAAGTATGAAAAGTATAAAAAGTATAGTATGAAAATATGAAAAGTGACTAAAAGTTTGATCATTTTATAGTAAAAAAAAAAAAAAAAACGCGTAAATGCTCATTGATTGGCAGGAAAGCTAAGTCCCACAATAGTGTCACATTCAGAACAAACATGTTTAGTAAAATCATGAAGTTAAAAACCCTTGCAGTTTTCTTAACACTTCGCAAGGTAAACTTTTTTTTATATTTTTTTTATATTTTTTTTTTAGCGCGTAGTAAATAGAAATAATTTTATAAAAGTATAAATTTAACTTTTTATTTTTATTTAGGTTTCTTTACATAAATAATAATTCGAAAAGAACAATGAGTATGGGAAAAATAACTAGAAATAAAACTTATAATGATCTACGCCACCAAGAGATCGGTAGTAGACCAACACGAGGTAGACCACCGCGAAGTCGAATTGTGGATGTAGATAATGAACGAAGACAAGAAATGCCAGTCCCAGAAATATTATTATTGGATCAAACGGAACAGGAACAAACAATAAACGGACCAAGTTTAAATGAAACACGATCTAATGAACCAAGGGAACACGAATTAAAGTCAAGTGAAACAAATCAAAATGAACAATCGAGAGGAAATAATCCACCTCATAGAACATCACCTCGAGAAGCTTCAATACAACCATCACAACCACTGTCAAGACCTATAATAACATCACAAGATCCTAGTCCTCAAGAACAATTAGAGAATCTACCACCTGGTTCCTCGACCACCACGACGAGTACAGTTATTACAATTAAAATGACAACAGTTACTCATACGGATGCAAATAACAATTCAACCACAACCACTACAGTCACCACAGATATATCACCCGTAACCAGTAACACGGTATCAGCAGATCCAGCCACGATAACGGTAGAAACAAGCGAAATGCCGGCACAAATATCGCGATTTCCTACACAGATAACACCAATTATTGCAAAAAATACTAACGATCACAATAAAAACATTAATAATGATAATAGTAATAGTAGGAATCATCACCTTCACAACAATCATCACAACAATAATAATGATGTTAATAATAACAATAACGATAACAGCAGCAACAACAACAACAACAACAACAACAACAACAACAACAACAACAATAATAATAATAATAATAATAATAATAATAATAACAATAAAGAAAATGATAATCGCAGTAGACGTAGTAATAATAATGTTCGTGAATCTGGACCACTTCCATCAATTCGTAGTTTACAAAGTCCAACATTTCCGGGACAATTGGCGGGGCAATTAACGGGACAATTAAGTGCCAGTCAATTACAACAACAAATGGCAGCTGTTTATGCACCTCAAATAGCTGCATCTATTATTAATAATGTCGCGTCAAATATGGGATCAAATATGGGATCAAATATGGGATCGAATATGGGAACGAGTATGGGAACGAGTATGGGAACAAGTATGGGATCAAATATTACTGCAGGTTCGGAAATTAATTCAGAGAATGTTTTTGGACATCATTTTAATAATAATAATAATAATAATGTTAATACTCACGGTTCATCATCATCATATTTTAATACTCCTCTGAGTACATTAAATCCACCTATTAATAATATTAATAATATTAATAATATCAATAATATTAATAATATCAATAATGGAAATATTATACGACCTTCACCTCAAATGGGACCAACAAATTTTCATAATAATCCTCTCATAAGTCCATTTTCTCATATGATTCCAAATTATTCAATGATACCTGGTTTAGGACCTATTGGAATATTTCCTCATCACACAGGTGCAAGTTCTGGAAATAATTTTATGAGTATTCCTCCTCCTAATCTTATGAATTCATTGAATTTTATGGATAATGCAAATGTGAATCCAAATACAAATAATAATAATAATTCAAATAATTCAAATAATTCAAATAATTCAAATAATTTAAATAATTCATCAAACAATTTATCAAACAATTCAAATAATAATAATAATAATAATAATAATTCAAATAATAATAATAATGGAAATAATTCAAACAACAACAACAACAACAACAATAATACAAATAACCAAACTAATGCTGCTATTATGAGAACTCCCAGCACTGCAACAATTAATTCCAATGGAACTATTTCCAGTCCAATTGATTCTATACATGGACCTCCACCTATAAATTCACCAATTAACTTTACTACACAGAATACACAATCTATTTCTACACAATCCCCTTCTATAAATAATAATAATAATAATAATATAGATATTCCAAATACCAACAGCAGTATCAACAATGTCAACAATGTTAATAATGCTGTTAGCAATATCAATGATGTCAATAATGTCAACAACATCAATGATGTCAATGATGTCAACAACATCAATGATGTCAATGAGGTCAACAATATTAATAATCTCAACAATTCCAATGTAAATTGTGTGAACCCTTCAATAATGGCAACAACTTCTGCATCTTCTGCATCATCTTCATCATCAGCTGAAGTCACAAAATTAAATCCTGAATATTATCATTTACCAGAATTAGATTCACTTGATACTGTTTATGATGTTTGGAATGAATGGAATGTGGGACTTAATGGGAATCCATCAGTAATTACATTATTAGAAACTTATGGAACCACTTGGGCCAGTGAAAATAAAGATCCTTTAATTGCTCGTAAAAAAATTATAAAGGAAATACAAGTAAGGATAAATAATGATTTGGCAATTGATGAAGTTATTAATGATATGGAAAGAATGAAAGCTGGTCAAGGTTTAAGTTGGCTATCAAAGAAATTTGGAAAAAAAAGAGATTCTACAAATAGATAAAATTGTTAAAAAATAATAGTTAATTGAAAAAAGTCAATCAAAGTTTAATTGACTAATAGATTTGATAATATGGTATGATATTAGAGTATAATTTGTGATAATTTTTCTTATTTTTTTTTTATTTTTTTTTTTATTGTAATTTTTTCATTTTTTTTATCTTTCTTCTTTTTCTTTTATTGGATAATTGAAATTTTCTTTATATACATATTTTTTTTTTGTTTTTGTATGATGGATTTTCTTTTGTCATTTTATAAAATCTTTGATTATTTTTTTAAACATTTAGAATGAGGAATAGTTTTATACACTCCTCACATTTATACATATATATGATTTTCTAATAATATAAAAATTAGGACATTTGAATTAAAAAAATAATAAACAAACATTATAAATTTTCTTCTTTTTTTTTTGTTTTTAATACACAATATCAATTACAATAAAAAAAATTTTGTAAAAATACATGTGAATAAAATGTAATAACCTTTTATTTTTATTAAACAACAAATAATAAAATAAAATTAAAATTACAACCTGTTACAAGAATATTTTAAATCTTTAATTTTTTATTATTATCATCATAATTACAATAAATTACTAATTGAAATATGTAACTAACTTAGAAATAACTTAACACACATAAACAAAGAAAATAACTGTAAATTCCTTTTCCACATGTAAAATCTTTAATACTTACTTGACAATAAAGTTACTTGCCTTTTATTCTTTTTGAAAACTTACAATTCCAGGAATCCTTCTTTGGTAGAAATATGAACACTTTTGCATCAAGAAGATACTAGTAGCACAGCTAGAAAATACTTTGGCACTCATGAAGGGCAATATACACAAGTATATATTGCAAAAACAAGGCTAACCTATCTACAAACCAGCTTTGCAGCCAGCAACCTAATAACTTGAGTAACCATTGCACTTTTTACATGCAACAGGCATCAAGGCATCCCAGTTCCTCCTCACTTTGGTGCTAATATCCTCATTGTGCTAAAAGTATGGTCAAGTGCCTAAGCATCACACAAGCACTCATGTTACATAGTAACGGAGGAGAATACTGTTAGCACAAATAGAAAATACTTTGGCACTCATGAAAACAATAAGCACAAGTATATTGCTCCACTTTGGCATTCATATCTTCATTGCACTCGCAGTATCTTAATCAACTAAATACAGGCACTGTGTGTGCATTGATAGATATGGAAAAGATATGAGGAGAGTTAGACAATGGAAGCAATAACGGAAGAAAACAAAAAAAAAAAGAATAAATACCTTTATTTTTCTATAGTTGAAATCAATGAAGTATAATCAACAAAGGTATATCTAAAAGAAAGAGGAATTATAATAATATTAATTAAAGGTTATAAAACTTAAGAGCAAAAGAATAAAAAGTGGAAAAGGGAAAAAATAATAATGAATTATTTTCGCTCTTATAATTTATAAAAAGCGTCATAATGAAATGTTATCACATGATCGCTATTTAGAACTGATCCTAGACTCCAGTTTAGGATACTATCGGGAGTCTTAGACTCATTATTTTAAAAAATCTAATTTATCTTAAAATACTGACACAGAGAAAAAATAAAAATTATCTATGACAAATAAAATTAAAAAAAAAAAAACAGATTCGAATATAGCTAAATTCTAAATTATATTATAACTAATTTCCACCTATTACAAAAGTTTTTGCCAAATTTTGACCAATGCTGTTAGCACTTTTTGCCTTTCTTTTGGTTCAGTGAAATTGAAACCATCCTTCCAACCATTCTCAGATTGCCATCGTTTAATCTCAACTGATTGTTTTTTTGGCAAACCTTTATCAAGTTCCTTCCAATATTTTGCAAGTGTAACATACAGTGTGTTACAAAAGTCTTTGGAAATTTGATAGCCGGAATTAAATTAGTGCCACCGGCCCAATTTAAACACAAATTGCACGTGGTATTAAATGATGATTTTGATCACCATGATAATCTTTTTTGTCTTTGAAAAT